GCTTTGACAGCAGCATGTTAGTGGGACTGTACACCGCTCAGAGAGGCCTCCTCTGCTTCATTCTCAATTTTTCCCTCTATCGTTATTTCAGACCAGTTGTATGTGTGCGCATGCACACACACACACACACACACACACACACACACACACACATGGGTGCGCAGAGGGGAGGAGAGGATGTGTAATTAAAATTCTGTTCAGCATGACAACGCTGTTTCATGCCTCATTTTTTGTCACACGTGGGCTGAATACGGGATAACAGTGCAGACTTTAAATCTGTGAATAGACTGTGTTTTGAAAGTGCACGCTGAGCTATCTGCAGGTGGAAAACACACACACACACTCTGAGATATCAGCAGCAGCGTGCATATGTTTAATAAAGGCTGTGTCTAGTAAAAGCAGAGGTTCTGTATTCAGTCCATCCCTCCATACTTGCATGTTTCTAAGGATTTGTGTGCCGTACTCTTCCGCCTGCATGTGCTGGTTCTGTGATGTGTTTACTCATCGTACGGCAGAGGGGATGGGGGTGAAACTGAGCCTCTTGGGATGCCGTCCACTGGGCTTGTCAACTACTGTCACTCAGCTATCATCTGCCTCCTCCACCATCCTCGTTTCCCATACTCCCCTGCTCCAAAACAAAGAGCGGCAACCACAGCAGCTGCATCTAAAGGGAGCGTCGCTCCACCAGTGTTTAACCTCTGCTGCAGCTCCTCTCTGTCTCCCCCTTCCTTCCCTTCCCCTCCCCCTCCTCCTCCTCTTCTTCATCAAAGCATTTCTGGCTATTTTGTTTCCTGGCTCTACAGAGAGTTATTGCTCATGACAACGATCACGGTCGTTTATTTTCTCTCGGCAGCTCGGCCTCTGTATGCACGCCGGGCTAGTATTACCCTATGATATTCAAGCGCTCTCTATTAAATATGCATGAACCCTGGAGATGAAAATTAATTTTGGGGAATGTTCTCTCCCTCTTCCTCCCCTCGCTCTCTCTTTGAATGTTCAAATATGCCTTCATCTGCTTTTGTGTCAGGACGTGAATTCATTATTTCATTTAGGCAGTGATGGTGTAACACAACACAACATGCGAGCAGAGCCGTATGTGGAGATATTGATCTTGTTAAGGAAAGGGGCAACGAGAGAAAAAAACATCTCCGGACAAAAACACACCATGAAGAAGTTTCCAGAGAAGTTCTGCACAAGTTCGCCTTGAGCTCTTATCATTCATGAATATTTAGAGCCATAAAATGGGAAAATATTAAATTGAATAATGCATGTATGAAGCGATGGAAATCTGCAGGAGGACACTGCAGTTTCTCTTCTGTCTTCTACTGGCTACATGATAGTCTCTCCGTTCTGCTCCTGATGACCAGACAACCTTCAGACTGCAGACCGAAGAGTGTATGTGGTCTGCAGTCGTCCTGCTACTCGGGGGGGTTACAGTGTTCCTCGAGGAGAGTGTACAGGAGAGGGAAAACATCAAAACACAGCAGACACAGACGGGCTGGTTGAGCAGGTTGTGTGGGAGGTGAAGCCAACACGAGTCGACGGATGAAACAAGAGCTGCTTTAAGAAATAGAAGCAAACAAAGATGTTTCCTCTCAGGTGTCTTTCAGAGATCTTTTTAAAAAACACAAACACAGATGTACTGACACAGAAGCCACCTGTTATCATCAGACTCTAAAATCCAGTCTGTGTAGGTTTTAATCACATTCAGACACCTTTGTCCTCCCTGTTTCAACTGAAGCCAACATCTAACTTTCACACACTCTTTGATCTTCTTTCACTGGTTATCAGTTATTATCAGAAAGTTAGAGTTGATTTGAGTCTTTGTGTTGTTTTAGTCCAGATTCAGTCAGAGGAACTCAGTTTTTATTTAGTCCAATTTGAGTCCATATTTCAGACCAAACTTTCTAAGACAGTCTGATTAATGTTTTTTAAGAAGGATGTTTTACTGGTTGTAAGTTTTGTCATTTTGGCTGAAAATATGCTTCCAGGTTTGAAGGTCTTCACTAAAACTCTTTGCTTTGTAACTTTTCTTCATGGTTCTTTATTTTTCCCGGCTCTGATAATGTTTGATGAATGACTTAGAGTCTGAATATCAGTCTGAGGACAACTTAACTCAGATATTAGAGGAAGGAGGTGGACGTGTGCTGTAAGCTTGCTCAATCCTGCTAATGTAAACTATCAGTTGGGTAGTGCAGTTTTCATATCACCAGCAGGTGTTACATCGAGTTTTACTGCATTACCAAAGAATGCTACCACAGCACAAATCAACAGAGACCCAGTCATACAAAGAAATCTGTTTTGTGAACATTAAACTGAGAGGGTTATTGTGTATTTGTCTTGGTTTTGTCATGAAGCATTAGCGTGTTAAAATTATCACCATCATTTTCACTGATCAAGTTCACACTGCTGAAACAGACTGATGTTGATACTGACGCTTCTCTCTGACCCATGAAACCAAACAAGACCATCATCAACAAGACTGGGTTTCTCCATCATCACCTTTTTGGCTTGCTAAACATTAAAGAACAGCTCTAAGGAGCTTTAAGACACAAACTGCCCCTTTCTGCATGTTACAAAGCATCAAATCACTCTTTTGCAGCATTGAGATCTTTGGGTGGGTTTGAGTTTGCTGTGTTTGTGCTCACATCTCTAAGCTTAGCTGTGAATTCATGCAGCTGGATTTGCACCCTTAATGTTGTTATAACCTTCATGTGTAACATCTGACACAGCCTCATCAGTTTGGACCAGAAAAGGTGCAGAAGCCATTTTTGGAATTAATTACTCTAAATTACTGAGATGCTGATTCAGACTGGATTAATATTATCAGCAGACCCCTGTGTGTCCTGTCCCATGGAGGGTGATTTACAGTGGAAATTTAACCTTTGAAATTGCAGACATGCCTGATATCGTCCTCTGCAATTGGAATAGATTTTCAGAGGACACCCGGTGATACTAATCCCATGCAAATTAGGTTTAGGTCGAAAACAACTCATTCTGTCTCACCTCAATGATCTATTTGAATTTTTTTAGATATTTAAGTGATTTTTGACTGTTAAGTTATATGTGCTGTGGGAAGCAGTACTTGTGGATTTGGGTTTGTTCCACACTGCTTCCTGGTCTTAAAATTTGGGAACCTCTGAATTATTGTATTTCAGTGACACTACAAGGTTTGTGTCGCCTGCAGGAGTGTTCAGCAGCTCGGCTTTGGCTGCTGCTCACCAGCCTCCCCCTTTAGCCTGCATTCACTTGCAGAGAGTCAATCTGCATAACTGCATCTTTCATGAGGTCTGCTCGATGCCCGATCTATATTGTATAGTGCTCCCTGACTGTGTGTGTGTTCCTGTGCATGTGTTGCTCTGCATGTTACTCTCTGCATTAATGTTTCACACACTTTTAGATACAGTCTGCACTTTGTGTGATCTAATCTGGAACAGGCCGAACATCCAGGTCAGAATGGATTGGTTACTGCTTTGAATTAGCCCTCTCACCTGGACCTCTTCATCACCTTCATGGTTGCTGTTAGTGGCACCTTCTTTAAGCCGGGTCAATATGAGCAGAGAGGGATGATGGTAGCTGTAGTTTGTAGACGGCCTCTGCAGTTCTTATCAGGTAAAGTGGTTTTTGATTAGTGTTAATGGCTGCCACTAAATAGCCTTTAGCTTTTGCACCAGCTACACCTCTTACACTCTGTGTGTGTGTGTGTGTGTGTGTGTGTGTGTGTGTGTGTGTGTGTGTGTGTGTGTGTGTGTGTGTGTGTGTGTGTGTGTGTGTGCAGCTCTGCTCAAGGGCAAGCTTGCCATTCATCAAGTTGAAAAAGATGTATCCAGTGTGCAGTGTGAACAGGTTTTATGTCTAAATGCTCCCTAAATTGTAACCTCCACAGTCTGGCTGTGCTCAGTTATGTGCAAAATGCTGCTGGATGAGCTGCAGAGGAGTTTTAGTGTCAGCAGCTCCACAGTATCCAGAGGAATGAAGCTCTTGTGGTTGTGCATATTAAGAAGTCAGATGGTGTTGAGCTTTGTAGTGCAAACAAGGTTTTACATGAAGCAGAGAGATGAATTTTACAAAATCCTAAGCTTTACAAAGGCAGTCAGCATGTCCTCTATCACTGTAATTTTCTTTACTTGTTGCAAAAATGTTTTCATTTGGAGATGAAAAGCAGCTTATTGCATTATAGTTAGTGTTGGAGTGATTTGAGGAGGTAAGGCAGGATTATTGACATTATTTTTGCAGGACTGTACATATTTTCTACACTTCCCTTTTTAAAATTATTCTTAAGATTTTATTTAAAGTTTAACTGAATCAAAATTTGTTTACATCTACAGCCCAGCAACTACAGTTGTTGTTAACAGACATTGAGTGTGATTTTATATGTAGCAGCTCAGCTGGCAGTCCACAAAGAGCATTGGAGAAGCAGATTTTTGACACAGCTGTCATTCCCCTCATTCAGGTCACTAAAAGGAACTCACATCCAATCATGTTCTTGTTGTGACTTTACATGTAATCCATATGTTTGAAGAATTTTATCCCCTCCTGTTGTGAAAACCCTCTGTGGATAATTCAGCTCCTGCTCAAACTTTTGTGAGATAAAAAAACTGAATGGATTAATATTTACATGGACACTGGTTTAGCACCAACAGGAAAGATGTCCCTGTTGTTGATTAGACTACTTTCTTAATGTTTCAGGTTGTATGGGACTTAATCATTCTTAATTTGTGAAACTCTAATGATACAAATAAAGGTGCAATGTGTGATATTTGGCTGCATTTATGACAACAGACTTGGTAGAAATTAAATATAATATTGAAAAGTATCCTTAAATTAGTGTTTAATCCTTTGAATATGAAATAACTCTGTTTTTAGCTGTTTATTTCTACACAAAGCCAAGATCCTCTTTCACAGAGACCGCCACCTTTGTGTGCAGCACCATGTTTGTACAGTAGCTCAGAATAGACAAACTAGTCACATGCTTGTTTTTGTATTGAGTTTATTTAATAGCTGGATGCATTTAAATTCGCTGGTTGGGAGACAAAGATGAAGAGGAAGGAGGCTGTTCTGCCCAGAGAGTTTGTACTGATTGATGTTTTTGATGGTCAAATCTTGATTGTCATGTATCGCAGGAGCTTCTTCCATCCAAAGGCCATCATGTCTTCACTGAGTAAGGGGTAGGGGGCTTTTCAATCCAGAATCTGACCACGAGACATTACTAAGTAATCCAGTTTCTACACACTGCACCTTCACACATTGAGGGTTGATTCTAGCCTAAAACTTCTTCTGAATTAAAGCCTTCCTCAGAACATGTACTTGGGTTTTATGCTTTCAATCCTGATTTTCTACCCTGAATGCAGTTGCTCAGTTTTATCATTTACATATTTTCTGTTATGCCATTAGCCTATCCCTGAATTAGTCTCAGTAATTTTCGATGGGGAGGCGTAAGATCTCTTTGATAAACCTTTAAGAAACTGCAGATTTAAGGAAAACATCAAGGAACGAACTGTGAAAGTGTGTCCACCTTTTACACAGCACTAAGTACTCAGGAGTGAGAGTATCTGAGCTTCACTCTTGGCCCACAAAGACAGACTGCAGCAGCACCCGCTCTCTGAAAAAAAGAAAAAACTGTCTCAGCATCTGGTGCAACAGACAGCCTTGCATGTTAATGCCAAGTTAATATTATTATTGTGAACTGCGAGTGACTTCGCATGTTAGTGAGCGCTCTGTCAAATTAATGTCACTTCCATTAAAGCCGCCGTCTATTTCGTGTCACAAGTACACTCGCTGCTTGCTCAGGCTCACCAGGCTAACACACACACACACACACACACACACACACACACACACACACACACACACACACACACACACACACACACACGCAGAGACTGCTTCATAAAAAGATTCACACCCCTACACCTCAACAGTAGATACATATTTACACACACACACCCATCTTGTCCGTGAAGAAGCGAGAGAGGAAAGAACGAGGAGGAAAATGAATGTCCGGACTCATTCATCACACAGCCCCAAAAGTACAGATGAATCCAGTGATGAAAATCTGTCCTGAGAAATGTCAGGAAGATATTAACTCCAATACATCAAAGCCGAGCTGCAGTCTGAGCCCACTGCTTCCAGCCTTTATGGTTAAATGGGGGTGGGGGGTAGTGTAGATATAATTTCAGCCAACTCTGACCGTTTGTCACACAGAAACGAGTAAAGAAAGACACAAGTTACTTTCAGCGGAAGAAGAACACCCCAAATGATGCAGAGCGGATTTCATTAGTGCACTGATGCCACTCTGTAGATCTGTCTGATGGCAGTGAAGTGTGAGGGAGGACGAGGGGAGTGAAAAGAAATTGCCTATTCATGTAGATTTCGCTAATCGCTTCCCGCACAAAATGTGAAGGGACTTGTACTAATAAGTAAGTAAAGGCTCAGTGGACAGAGAGAGGGGAACAGCACAGGGGCTAATGGAATCCAGAGCTTTCCACGCCTCCATGGGTGTCTTAATTGTCAAAAGAAGATCCTCACAGGAGTATTTTGCACACTCGTCTGCATTGAATTGTGGGAAGCCTAAATTGGAGTGCGACTTGATGCGTTTGTTTTAAGCCCGAGCTTCTTCTGTGTGTGTGAGGTGGATCAAATCCCTTATCCGATGTCTGGAAACGGGTCCTGTGATTCACTCTGGTTTGTTTGCAGAGTGTACGTTCTCTGTGCAGCCTTCAGGGACTGAAGTCGACTCGTATCTGAAATCCATAACTTCTGCTGTTCTGTGCTGTTTCATCTCTTCTGCAATGTATTATGTGCTCATTTATTTCTGCATGGATTTATTTATTCATAAATATTCATTCTGACATGTGTGATTCATCTCTAAAAAATTAATATATTGCTTTTTCAATCTCAGACAGCCGGGATTTATTGGCTGTCATTGCTGCTGTTATCACCTTACCTTTAGAGTGATCTGGAAGTAAATCCAACTAAGAACATTTAGTCAATTAGATTTTCTTTGCTCAGACTATGGCGTCAACTGTTTTTAGATGTTCTGTATTTACTTGGCAACTTCATAAACTTCTAACATTCCAGGGAACTTATTTCTGACTGCTTCAACTCTAATGTGATGAATGATTTAGGTTAGATTGTGAAGTGGCAGCTCAGCTCATAGCTTCCTACTTTCAGTATTATAATGATGATTAACTGTAGTTTCTATCTAGAAGTCTCATATTCTTCCAGTAGGATCAATATAAATCAGTTTTACACCACAAAACATCCTAGGACTCTGGTAAGATTGTTAGCTATTGTTAGTGGCAGCTCAGCTTGCAGCCCTCTTAGTTCAGCATCATGATGAAGAACTAAGTCTCAAATTTTACCTGTAGGATCAAAGCTTACCAGAGCTAACGGGATAGAACATTTTAGTGAACTAGTTTCTGTTTTAAATCATGTTTCTGACACTTAAATGTGATGAAGGACTCTGTTTAAGTTTTGAGCTAAATTAAGTAACAGCTCAGCTTGCATCCTGCAGAGATCAAGACCATTCTTAATGCCAGACTGTTTTATGAAGTTTTTTTCTGTGTCTTCATAATGTGGCCCATTAACTACACACATTTTACCGACATAGGTAAGATGAAAACTAAAGGTTGGACAAAAAGGTTTAATCTTATCCAAGCCTTTGAAGGCTGGACTTTTGCAGAAGTCCATCATTTGGATAGTTTTCTTTGTATTTCTCTGAGGCTTATTGGCTACTATTGGTTTTCTAATTGATAAAAAGCCCTTGACAAATTAAAGCTTTCAAGGTTTATATGTTGCCTCTTAGCTGTGTTACTCTCTACATAAATTACTTAAATGCGTGTAGTCAGAGTGGGTGAACTAGCTGAAGAAAGAACGAATAAATGAATGCTATTTGTTCATGTGTTCATAAATACTTCAGGTCACCCCTGCAGAAGTTAATGCCACCCCAGTCTGAAAGGTCCAGACCTGCCCCTGTCTCATGCTCAAGTTTCAGGTATCTAATACAGCATGATGTTGAGTTTATAAATTATGGTGACATTTGCAGATAAATAGAATGGCATAAAGGCTGCATCACCTCCACAGTGAGGAATAATGCAGGACAGACACACTGGGATGTGTGATCACTTATTTGGCAAAGTTTGGTCACATGTAGCTCCAAAAAACAAGATGATGCCTTTCAAGATTGCCAGACTGGAGTTTTCGGACTGTAGTCACACAAACTACTAGTAACTTTTAGGTAGTTATGTCCAGGGGTGGACAGTACCCAAGTAGATTTACTTGAGAACTGTAGTACAAGTACATTATTTGAGTATCTGTACTTTGAGTATTATCTTCTTTTTTTTTTTACCTTTACTCCACTACATTTGAAAGACATATATTATACTTTTGACTCCACTTCATCTCTATGAAGGGTCTTGTTACTTGTTACTTTTAAGTTTAGCTTTTAAGTCAGCAGATGGAATTTCTCTTCTAAAACGCGGTCTGGGAGTGATTTGTTCAAGTGGTGATGTCATATCTGTACCTCGTGCATGCTCTGCGCTGATTGGACAGGTAAACGTTGAGCTTACGTTGCTCATATAACAGTTACGGTTCGTCTTGGCAGTGGTAATGATAGCTATGGCAGATACAGATGAGGGTTCCACACAAGAGCAGCCATGGCCATATCAGAGGTCCATGTCTAAGATTGTTGAAATGAAGAATGCTTTATATCATTTGAAATGTTTGCTCTGTTTACCACGCACAAACTTTATTGCTGCCGACAAAAACTTACTGTCCAACCTTTGAAAGTGTGTCAGGTATTAAATTATAAAAAAATGTAAACACAATGGTTGTCCTTTTGTTGATTACATTTCATTTTAGTTCAACATTTTTTTAAGCATTTTTAAAGGCTTCATAGCAAAATCTACAAGCTTTTTATTCTGCGGGTTTAAGCAGGTCAATGCATTCAGTAGGTTGTTTAAGTCATTAGGTTCTGTAAATTTGTTGTCGCAACAATACAAGAATGTGTTAACATAATACTGAAGTATTTTCAAAAGCAGATACTCTAGTACTTTAACTGAAGTAAAAATTTGACCAAACAACTTTCACTCATATTAGTAAAATTTGACCTGCTGATAGAAACAAAAAGGTACAAAGATTAACTTACAGGCCGACTGGAGTTCTTCACCAGGTATTACAGCGACTAGAAACCCTGACCACTGAGGTTCATTAGTGGAGAAAATTGGACTTTACGAATGTGTGTGTGAGAGAAAAAGAGAATGTGCTTTTAATCTAAAAAGGTCAATGTGTGCATGCTATTTTGGAGATTCACTGCAAGCTTATAATTGGGGCTCCATCTGAAGACAATGTAGAATTAAATGAAGACAAAGTTAGCGAGTGTGCGGCTGGCCTTTGATGAGAATCAGGGAGTGAGGACCCTTCATTTGCAACCTTTAATCAGTCCAATGAGATCAGTTTTGCATGTGTTTCCTGAAGAAAAGGAGGAGGGGGGAGAGATGAAATGGTAATTAGTATTGATCATCTATGGGCATGTGACCCTGCTGTCTCCCCCTGCATTCTTAAATCAACCTAAATTATTGGACTTACTAATTTTATGCTTGAAGCAGAAGTAGCCACAACATGAAAACGTTGCCACAGTGAAGCAGGTCCCACTGAGGTCTGAGGAAATTACAGCAGTGGGAGGAGAGGGGAGGCGTAGGTGTGAGGCTGAATTAAGCACACTGCTTTAAGTTAAGGATGATAATTATTCCAGGAGGCTCGAAGGGGAATAAAGGTGATTCAGGTAGCTTTTTCTCCAAATTACATTTCACGTCACAGCGCTTCAGCTCAGCGATGTCTCAGGCTGGTCATATACACATGTAATTACTCGCAGTACAGACAGAAAGAAAGTCCATTTACGCTGGAAAAGTAGCCGAATTACATGTACACACAATTAATACACCCATGGGAAACTGAAATTTTCTTTCAAATGATAAGATAAATTCCTAATTACTGCTGCACACATACACACACACACACACACACACACACACACACACACACACACACACACATAGCTAATCTACTTTGGTAGTTTTAAGCCACCATATAGTGTTATTGTGAGGAGCAGGAGTGGACAGAACTGATGGAGGGAGTCATGTCATAATGCACCCAATGAACCCGGGCGGCGGGAGGACACAGTGCTCTGCCGCCATCTGCTGGTCAGGAGGCAGAACACAGACCAGACAACACAGCCGTGTATGTAGTGTGTCTAGCAAGAGTTTTTTTAGGCTCCTTTTTGGAATAAGTGATGAGCAGTTTTCATCTTATATTATGCATGAAAGCTGATTTTCAGCTTGAACGATACATTTTAAACTGAATTCAACAATTTCCTCTCTAATTTGAAAGATTAAAGAAACTGTTTAGCTCTGGAGCTTTCTAAGAGGAAGCGAATTGAATCAGTTTCAGAACCATCAGAAAATGTCTTTCATTGAACACGTCTTGGCTCCATATGCATGTCACAATAGTTTCTCATCTCTCATTTTGCTTTACTGCAAAGCTCCAAACCTGCAATTTTTTCCCCAAATGGATCTGGGATTTGAGCACGTTTAGATGTTAGAGCATGGATATATGACTATACATGCATGTTTGTTTAATTTTACTGCATTTGTGTTTTTGTACTTTGTCAGTTAACAAGTCTTGTAACTTTTCCCGTTTTTTTGCCTCCGTCCATCGTCTTGTAACTTTTCCAGTTTTTTTGTCTATTCGCCTTAAGTTCAGACTTTTCTAGAACTTGGATGAAACCATACCCAAGTTCCTTTAAAACATTATTAGTCAGCTGCGCGCATAGAGTACCTAAGTCTTAGTCTTTTATTTTGTTTAGTTCGCTAAAGTGACTCCTGAGAATGATATCGACTGGCCAGCAAAATTGTTTTCTTAAGTTATTATCGCGAATTGATCTGCAGTAAAGCTAATCCTGAACGCCCGGAGGACCGACTGCATCATCTGCTGAGCTGCGTTTGCCATAAGATTCCGGAAGGAGAGCGCTGTGGGACCCAAGGGGCGCATTTGGCGTGCATTTGTGATGACAGAGACACCGTTCGGCCGGCTGCTAGCCGCCCTGCCCAGACCATCCGTAGCCTGGGCCTTCAGTGATCCGCTCCAAGATTGAGAACCATCATCAATAAGTAGGCAAACACACCTGGAAGAACCGGTGATGCTGTCAAGCGTTCAGAGCTTATAATTTTAATTATAGTTTTAGTTTCTCTAAATTCCTCTTCCAAATTTATCCTCGTAACTCTGTTAACGTAGGTTAAAATTTTTCTTTATTCACTCACTATTATTAACTTCCGGTCTTAGTTTCAGTTCAAACCATTCCTTCATTTATTCACTAGATGTTCTCTTAATTTCTCATTATTTGATCGCGATTTATTGAATTTATGTTATCACCAAGCATTTGTCAATAAATTGTCCATTTAATTTTAAGTTGTCGTCTCTTAGTGGTCAATATCCAGAAGTGAGGTCCCTGAAATGAGAATTCCAGCCTCAGATGTGAGATTGATTTAAATCTGTTGAAGACTGAGTCAATGTTTGATAATTCAATTGAGCTTTGTTTGTCTTTTTCCCACCAGAAAGGTGGGTGGTGCCCCTTCAACGAGTGCATAAATGTCATAATTTAATTCTATTATTTTAGGACATTTATTTTGAGTTCAAAATCGCTACATATTATTTGGTGCCCCGTGTGAGGGATTTTAAACCGAATTCTGGAAACACTAACAGACTACCTTAAGATTATCTTCCCAAACTAGTGAGAAACCCAGCTTTCCCAATTGAGACTCTTCAAAATCTATGCTATGCTTGCTGAAATTACTGGATTGAATGCTTGATGTGTTTCTGATGCATTTTTGAAATTGCTGAACAAGGCGTTTGATGTGTTTCTGGTTCATGTTCTGATGATATGAGCCTTTGTTAAAGCGCAGTTTTTGCTGCTGCAGACGTTTGTGTGTGAGACCACATGGATCATTGTTTTGATTGCAGCGAGGCTGCGTCTTTTGCTGTGAGCGCTGCCGATGCGCGTATCCAGACTATTAACTTTTAGTGCACGATTTCAGCGTCGCCGTACACTTGTATTAAGGCCTTGGGCCGGACCCGGTGTTCGCGAAGCTCCGAGCCGTGGTTCTGAGTCTCTGAACTTCCTATAGTCTACTACGACGTTCTAGTGACTGTAAGGGATTCAGTTATTCCTCATTCCCCGGGCAGATAAGCTACCTGTCGCGGGAGATCACTGTCTCCAGTGAGAGGTTTGTTAGAGTGATTTCAGACATAATTCTTTTTCACAAATCGCTGCATTTCGTGAATTCAAGTCCGCAGTTTTGTCTGCTGTTGTAAGATCTGTCTGTGTAACTCTTGATACTCCCGAGAGGAGGGTAGTTGAATCAATCCGCTATTAGAGAGGCAGCGTGAGCTTTTTCTTTGCCACTGCTGCGCAGCCGCAGTGAGGTATTAACCCTTTTGTGTCTGTTAGAGAGACTAGTCGATCGGTGTGTGAACAGGCACGCCACCCCGAGGGCTGGAGCCCAATAGCTACGTCCTGACGTTGCGTCACAACATACTGAGCGGTTGAACCGCCCCCTAGAACACCGCCCTCGTGTGGTGAACGGCAAGCGAGCACGGCAAGCCAGCTCACAGCCACTTGGCCTTTGTTTCACTCGGACGTCATTGTAAACAGACTGCAGTGACAGCCGACTGCCACGCCTCCCTGTTGTCAAACAGATGCCATGCAGACATAGTCAGATTGAGTTGGTTGATTGAGTTTCATTTTCTGTATCATAAATAAAACGTTGAGTTACTTGATAGACAACTTTTATTTTTACTTTACACAGATAGATCGCCTGCCTTATTAATTAGAACAGCTGAATCAAATCTTTGTCATCCTGTAATCATTGTTCCTTGCCTCCATCTTTCTTTGACCCTTTAGAAAACACTTACAGATGATCACAGACTTAGGGCAATAATTAATTAATTAATGTAACATTAATCAATTCATTCAATAATTCCCAAACTAATCTACAATCAGAATTATTTTTTTATTATCCCTTTTAGGTCAATTGAATTTGGACAGTTTTACTTTGATTACCTTGTGAAGACATTGAAAGATTTAAGTGCATCTACAACTGCATTGTTGATCCTGATTACCTTCAGCCTTTACCCTCCTTCCACACTTAACTGACAATCCGCTATTTACTCTAAAGGTTTCCCTGTATTCCTTTATGTAAATTGTATCTGACCAAATCCTGTTTGATCTTTGAGATCTGGCTTTGATTAGGTTTGATTTTTGCACTTAATTCCTTTTTCAGTTAAATCCAAATTCTATTTTAGCTTCCTTTGTTTACCTCATCCAGCAAATAAACATCCAGCTATTTTATGGTGAACCAGACTTTGCTATAAGCGCTTATCTTCTGGTCCCAAATTCAGAACTTTTCTCAAATTGTTTTATAAGCACTGCTATTTTTGATCAACTCACTAACCTACCAACTTTACTAAACTTGAATCAACATGGCAGAACGTCAGGAGGCAGGTTGGCAATGATTCAGTGAGGAGCTAAAGCATACGCTGACAATTTTGACTCAGCCGCTGCTACCAGGCTATGTAGACGAAATGAATCGCACTGATGCCAGCGGGCTTGAAAATGCACTGGCTGAGGTGATCTATTGGGTTGCCCTGAACCCATCTAAAGAAAGAGACATCCCCAGAGCTTTAGCACGCTTGGCTAGTGTGATGTCTGTCCAAATCAAGAGACAGGACGGAGCCATGGAGAGGGCCAAAGCACTGAAGGAAATTGATGATCTCAAAGGGGAGCTGGGATGCACTGAAAGGGCTCTACAGCAGACTCGAGACCGTTTGGATGAGATGCAAACAGAGCCTCCTTCCCCACCTGATCAAGACCCTTCCTTAGTAATCAAAATCTCAGACTTGCATGACACCATTGAGAAAAAGGAAGCTCAGCTTTCGGATGCTAAGTCAACAGTTCTTGAGCAATTACAGGAGCTGTCAAGAGTGAAAAGCAGCCTAGATCAGTCCTCAACTGATGCAAGGAACTGGAAGGCCCGGTTTGAAGGCCAAAGGGTGGCCCTCGAAGCCGAAGAGAGACATTCTGCTAATCTAAAGCAACTACTCCTAGAGGCTCAGAAGAAACTTAGTCTGGGTCAACCCCAGCAAGATCAGAGCGGGCGAAGCTCACCAAGTGATCAACAGGCGCTCCAATACCCCACTTTTCGACCAAGTCGTGTCTCCAAAGGACATTCGGGTCAATCAAGTCCTGGTTCCACCGGACAGAGCCCTGGTCATACTTTGTCGCCCCTCTCCCAACCAACACCATCTGGGTATTATTCACAAGGGCCAGAATACTCCCTCGGCCCCACAGGGCTATCTCTGAGCTACGAACCTCAGTCCACGCCTGCTGCTCGTCAAGCAGCATATCCCACAGACAGGGATCTTGACAAAATGGCTCGTAACATCACACGATTTGAACCCGGTCGTAAAGGTTCAGAAGACCCAATCACCTACTCGAAAGACATCGACTTCTACTTGAGGAAGTTTCCAGGTGCTCTTGTGGATGACAAAATCTACTTAATCAAAGCTACCTCCAATCGAGAGGTTAGCAGCTTCATTGAATGACAACCCCGTCGGGTCAAGAACGACTATGACCTGCTGTGCCAGGCATTAGTTGACGAGTTCTCTGACTCCCTTACACCAACTGGTTTAGCCGCTGCACTGTTAGTCAAACAGGAGAGACAGGAATCTCCCTAGTCATACTACAGTAGCCTGCGCCAGGCTTACTTTGGTAGTCTAAATGAACCTGAAACGTAGAAGGACATGAACTTTAAAACCTTGTTTGTTCAAAACCTCCATCCCACCACAAGTCATCACCTTGGTGTTGCAGCTTGTCCTCGAACCTTAGACAGCAGACAGCTCCGCGAGCTGGCTGTGAGAGGTTTCGCAAAACAAAGACAAACCATGTCCAAGAGACCCGAACCCAGTACTGTGTTGGCTATGGACACAAAGTCAATGCCACTAGAACTGGAAGGTGGTGCAGTTGACACGTACTCAGACACACCTAAGTACGCAACTGACCGACCAACCCAGAATCTAAAGGCATCCCGATATCAGTCAGCTTATAAAAGTTGAGGCCATAAACAATCTTGGTCTGACAGAGGTCAACAACATGCCAGATTTGACACGGGCCACTTTCCCTCACACTCCTGCAGGAGTGGGACTTACCCTGAAAAGGATGTGACCCACCAACCTAACAACAGGGTGGTGAGAGACAGGCCTGATCGTAACTAGTCACGCTGGAGACGTGACTCACAGCAACCTCATGACCTGTCCCAATCGGTACCCCCCGATGAAGAGATGGGTACACAGAACAAATCAGACCCTCCACCGAAGTATGACTGGGATAAAGGCGAACCAAAATCCCCTCATTTGACAAATGAGGACCTCAAGCTTATTCAAGAGATACTCAGCAGGATACAGGGAGAAGAACCCGAGAAAGCAGATCTTTTCTCTGTCTTCTCTGTTGAACAAGTTCCTCCTGAGCCAAGCGCAGTGTCTGCTCACCAAGCTCCAAAAGACGAGGAAGTGTGCATGACCTTTCAGAGGCCTGTACTACGAAGCTGGATTAACAAATCCAGGATAACTCTGTGACAACTCGCTCAACTTCACCGGATCTCCGCGATCCCGATCAGCTGTACTACGAAGCAGGATATCAACTCGATAACTGAATCCAGTTCAGATCTGTGCGCGCACACGTAAAGGGGGTCGGGTCAGTGCCACCGGACCAATCTCCACAATGGAGAAGGCTGCACGTCATTTTTCACAGCTGAAGAACAGAGCTTTATTTAAACAGTGAGACAGACACAGCCGCTAAAAGCCGGAGGGACTGCCGGCAAAAAAAATCACCGGTTGTGTAAATTACATTTGTGCGTTCAAAAATTTATGGCCCCCTAATATATTGTCATGCAGCGTGTGTGATCACCACCATCACTGACCTCATTATTTCAGATACAACAGCAGTGGGGAAAAGAGTACGTGGGAGCAAATAAAAATAAATCTAAAAACATCCTTTAAAGTAGTTTGTAAGTTTATTGGAAGATTTTATTTGTACATATTTCAACGCGTAAACAGTGATTTCCTCACACTGCCTTTTTTTTTTCTCCATCATCTGATGGTCACGTCATCTGCAGACACATTTGGGGTTAAGAGTTTTCTTATCTGCTTCAATGAATTCTGAAAGATGACTAACAAATTTGAACCTGGAGCTTGGCAAATATTAGTGTATTGCTTAGACTTCTTGCTACTTGAATATTGAGGCCGTCCGAGGAAAACCTGTAACGTTCATAGAGAACGTCATCAGGTAAATCAAACGGATTTGAACAATCATGAATATAACGCTCTCGGCGGAGCGCTCCTCTCACTATCCGTGCAACGATGTCCCCGGGATCCGGCAAAAGTGGGCAAGCCATTTTCCAAGAGATCCGATTGGTCATCGGGCGGTTTTTTATACCTGCTGAGATCTTATCCTGAAACATAACCTGCTCCGGAGCAGGTTTGGCGTTCCGCGTAAGTTACCGGGGCAACGGACCCGGATAAAAAGAGATCCACCTTCGTAGTACAGAAAACCCAGAAGTTATCCAGAAGTTATCTCGCTAAGACCAAATCCAGCTTCGTAGTACAGGCCTCAGGAGTCTGTGACTCCTCCACCTATTGACACCACTAACGATCTTGAACCACCCTTCCTCCAATTCCTGGGCAACCTCACAAAGAAGGGAGCCACACAGAAATTTTACCTGAACACCATTCTTGAAAATGAACTTCAACATGAAGCGCTCCTAGACACTGCTGCTGACATCACTCTGATGTCAAGGACGCTTTTCAATCACTAGCACAACATGGTGCAGCGATCCAACAGAGATCTTAATCTGCAGCCTCACGCCATGAAGATCTAACCTTACTCCAAGGACAGTACGACCTTGACAACAATGACAATGTTAAGCATCGCCATTGGACCGATGAAAATCATGCACCCTGTGTATGTGTCACCCATCGAGTCGATTCCATTCCTCATTAGCCATGACCTCCTAAATTGGTTCGAACCCTTAATCGACTACAAACTTCGAGCATTATGGGCACAAATCCACAGACCCCTACCGATCCAAACAACTACCATAAGTCAGGCTCAGTGCTACATCCTAACACAGGAACCCTAACAAAGCACACCAGCAAGTGTGGGTCCCCCAGCCCAGACAGGCCTGCCTGACGACGGACCGCAGCCTTGCTTGTGGCCTCTCAGTGACTCAGTCATGCAAAAAGACCCCTTTTGGTGTGAATTTGATAGCTCCTGGGACAAACAAAGAGCCTTAACTGGCACACCGTGGCACCCTGACCCCACTGTCTTTCCCACCCAACCCACCCCTGTGGTCTGTGCTATCGTCGACACCCGATCTGCGCCTCTGGCCTTCTCAAGACCTGATTTGCTGCCCCTCTAGGTCTCAAATCCAGCCGTCGCTGCCAAAACTTCCTTTCCCTCTAAGCCTTCGACCTCACTCATGTCTCCTGACCTCTTTCGCCCCATTCCTAACGACTCCCATCTTTTCCATGTGCGTCCTTTGCTTCGGCTCGTCAATGACTTCCTTGTCTTTGCCTCTGATGCACTCACTTCACCTGCCTTGGTGGCGCCTCGCAGCCACAGGGGGGTAAGGTTAGCATACGCCCATGACTCTCCGTGCACAGAGCACAGAAAAAACAGGGAGCTGACCCTCAAATGGGTCCACCACAACCAAAGCAAACTTCACCAGAACCCCATGGGACTTGTCGGGGCCTCTAGCGCCACCTTTGAGTAATAAAGTAGGACAGCTCCGAGCTTTCCTGACTAACGTCAGGCCCACCAGTTCTCTGATACTATCGTTCTACTTACATTTTTGCTATATCTGTGCGTTTGCATTGGTTCTAACTTTGACACTGACCATGCCCTCGGGCACAGGTTGAGTCACGAAGGGAGGGGGAGTTGAGAAAGTGGTAGTGATCATTTGAAATTTTAGATCCTTTTGCAACCATATCATTCTAATAATGTCCGTACTCACCTCTAGGATGATTTGGCTAGTAATGCTCCTGAGCCTTGGCGTAGTAGCTGCCCCAGCTAAACCCGAGACTGTAGAACCAGGACTGGACTATGGGATTGTTCTGAGGAAACAACCCGAACTAATGATAACTAACTGTCACCGGCACACGCAGACGTTGCTTGTCAGGCTAAACTCTAAGAAAGCCTACTGTAAAAATGTTCCGGTAACGGCTCAACTGAACAGCTGGGCTCAGATTAACAGACAGCTGACACAACTGCAGACTATTGGTCAAACAGTCAAGGGCACTGTCCTTGCAGTCAATACCCATAGTAAAGTCCTGAAAAAGACGCTGCATATTATAAATTCCTTGCTGTCGATGGTCCAGGTCGGCTATGCTCGCACATTGCTGTTGAATATGCTCATGTCAGACATGTTGCCAGAAATATCATCATTAGACAGTCTTGCCATGGTCGTTGCCCCCTACTATCTAAACCCTGATCAACTTGCAACTGAGGTTGAAATGCCAGTGTTTCTCAGCAAGCATACGCTCCAAGTAGATCCTAGGAACATCTCGCAGATCTCAAGAGAAACCCCAATTCAACCCATAATCTACATCTGGTTGTCCCTTAACACCAGGTTAGCTGTCATCGTAGGGTTAGGATACCTTCCCACCTTTGTACTAGTTTCCCTAGACACCAAACGTGACAGGGCTCTACAGTACAAGACAGATCAATGTAGCGCTAGGCTACAACTCTGTAGGCAGCCAGAACCTGAACAGGAAGTTAATGAGGAAGAAAGACCATGCAAACAACTTGGTCGCGCTTTTGTTTGCTCCCTGTAACTGCGTGCTTAGATTTAGTAGACTTAGCCTATATAGTAGACCTAGCCAATGACAAACTCTGAACGAGACGCATCAACCCTCCTTGGATTAACCGCTGCCTCCAAATGGTCGTCTCATCTCATCGTCTCAATGGCTCCCGAAGCTGCCATCGAGACGGAGGGGGGATATGTAGCAGATGACTGGTTTCTGCTCTCTCATCTTTAATTCACCCTCAAAGGAATGCAGTGACTCTGGTCTCTAAAAGAAGATGGGGGGTGAATTTACACACCAAACCACGGTCTTTTACAACCTCCTGTCTGCCTGTCTGTGGGAAACTAACCAAGAGGTGATCCCCCAAAAGACAGACAGTCAATCTTTTCCATTTCAAAGAGACAAAGTTGCTAATCTCCAGCAGGACCCCCGGACTGGATAAACATTCACCCCTCTGCTCTTGGCTGGAGACTCTCAAATTTGACACCTTAACCTTAAAGGTACCCTACAGTCCCTGACAAAAGTCTTGTCACTTCAGTACAAGTTGACCTTAAGTGCCCCTCAAATACATGTGCAATAATTTTTTTTCACAAGAAATGTCTAATTTCAATCCCAACAGCGTTTGAAATAATGTTTAGGTGCCAAACGAAACTGCTGAAAAGCATTCTAATGTTCACAGCTTGGTAAAGCCCACTGAGTCATTTTTTGCACAGATAAAAGTCTTGTCGCCTTGTCATATGATCAATCAATCAAAATCAATCAATCAAATCAATCAAATTTTATTTATATAGCGCCAATTCACAACAGTCGTCATCTCAAGACGCAGGGAGCAAGGAACAAGAGCAGGTCTGGACCACGCTCATTGTTTGATGATCAAGAACCAACCTAAGATGGGTTTTGGGGTGTCTGCAGCAACGGTCCAGAGGAGCCAAAGAGATGGAGGAGCTCAGGGCCCAGGGTGGATGCAGCTGGGGTCAGGCAGTTCCGCAGCAGACCGTTTGCAGCATTAGTCCAGTGGCAGCTAAAAGACTCAGAGACACTCAGAGAGACAGAAAACTGGTCAGTGACCTATATGGGACATAAAGATCTAAAGAGGAGATAGAGACAGACTCTAGCTCAGTGTGCCAGATAGCCCCGGCAGTCTAGACCTATAGCAGCATAACTAAGAGCTGGTTCAAATCAGCCCTGACTATAGGCTTTATCAAAGAGGAACGTTTTAAGTCTACTCTTGAAAGTTGAGAGTGTGTCTGCCCCCCGAACCTTGAGCGGTAAATGATTCCAGAGGAGAGGTGCCTGGTAGCTGAAAGCTCTTCCTCCAATACTACTTTTAGAGACATTTGGTACAACGAGCAGGCCTGCAGACTGTGAGCTAACGGTCTAGATGGAAAGTACGGTATAACTAGCTCGTCGAGATATGATGGAGCCTGGCCGTTAAGCGCTTTATATGTCACAAGGAGGATTTTAAACTCAATTCTATATTTAATAGGGAGCCAGTGAAGAGAGGCTAAAACAGGAGAGATGTGCTCCCTTCTTCTAGTTCTAGTCAGTACCCGAGCTGCTGCATTTTGGACCAGCTGAAGAGTCCTTAATGACTTACTAGAGCAGCCTGATAGGAGAGAATTACAGTAATCCAGCCTAGAGGTAACAAAGGCATGGACTAGTTTTTCTGCATCGCTCTGAGACAATATGTGTCTAATTTTTGAGATATTGCGCAGGTGGAAAAAGGCTGTCCTGGAAATTTGTTGAATGTGGGAGCTAAAAGATAAATCCTGAACAAATAAAACTCCCAGATTTCGCACAGTGGGGCTGGATGCCAGGCTGATGCCATCAAATGTAGCTAAATTACTAGAGAATGCCTCTCTAAGGTGTTTAGGACCGAGGACCAGAACTTCAGTTTTGTCTGAGTTGAGCATTAGAAAGTTATTGGTCATCCAGGATTTTATATCTTTGAGGCAGGCTTCTAACCTGGCAACCTGGCCTGCTTCCTCCGGCTTCATGGATAGGTATAGCTGGGTGTCATCTGCATAACAGTGGAAATTAATCGAGTACTTCCTCATAATTTTACCCAGCGGAATCATGTACAGGGTGAAGAGGATCGGTCCGAGCACTGACCCTTGCGGCACTCCGTAGCAGACCTTGGTGTGTGCAGAGGATTCATTATTAACATGGACAAACTGGGATCGATCTGTTAGGTACGATTTAAACCAGGAGAGAGCTGATCCTGCTATGCCTATAGATTGTTCCCGTCTCTGAAGCAGGATGGACTGGTCGATTGTGTCAAATGCAGCACTAAGATCTAACAGGACTAGAACAGAGAGAAGACCATTGTCCGAGGCCATGAGTAGGTCATTTGACACCTTTAGCAGAGCAGTCTCTGTGCTGTGATGGGCTCTAAATCCAGACTGGAAATCCTCCAATAAACCGTTGTTATGGAGAAAATCACAGAGTTGATTCGCAACAACTTTCTCCAGGACTTTAGAAATAAAAGGAAGGTTGGATATTGGTCTATAGTTAGCTAGGGAGCTTGAGTCCAGAGTAGGTTTTTTAAGGAGAGGCTTAATCAATGCAGTCTTGAAAGACTGGGGAACATATCCTGTCAATAAAGACGTGTTAATCAATTTGAGCAGGGACGTACTAATCAAAGGAAGAGTTTCCTTCAGCAATTTAGATGGAATTGGGTCTAAGAGACACGTCGATGGTTTGGCTGCCAGCACCACTGACTTTAACTCAGGAAGGTCAATAGGTGCAAAGTTACTAAGGTGCACCAGAGGCCTTAGGGGCTCCTCAACATTTTTAGGGTTATCTGAGAGAGAGACACCTGATGAAGTCAAAAGGTTACTAATTTTACCTCTTATTTTTAAGATTTTATCATTGAAGAAGCTCAGGAAGTCGTCGCTGCTAAGGGCTAAAGGGATACATGGTTCAGTGGTGCTCTGACAGTCCGTCAGCCTGGCTACAGTGCTGAAGAGATATCTGGGGTTATTCTTATTTTCCTCAATAAGAGACGAGTAGTAGGTTGTCCGAGCACGTCGTAGGGCCTTCTTATATTTATCGAGACATTCCTGCCAGAGAAAACGAGCTTCAGCTGTTTTGGAGGAGCGCCAAATCCTTTCACATCTTCTTAATAACTGTTTCAGCTCACAGGTTTCAGCATTATACCACGGGGCTAGCCTCTCGCATGTAAGAGTTTTCTGTCGAAGAGGAGCAACTGAGTCTAGAATTGATCGCAGTGTGCCTGAGGTATCATCAACGAACTGGTCGAGTTGCAAGGGACTGATGTTTAAATATGAGCTATCAGTGAAGTTCTTCTCAACCACAGAATTTAGAGCAGACGGAATTACCTCCTTGAACTTAGTCACAGCATTTTCAGACAACCTTCTAGTTAGCACGGCTTTGTTATGAGGAGAGTAACCTGAAAGCACAAATTCAAAAGTTACTAGACAGTGATCAGATAAAAGAGGATTTAATGAGCTGACTAACAGGGCTTCAGCTTCGAGGCCATAAGCCAGGACGAGATCCAGGGTGTGGTTAAAGCAGTGCGTAGGTCAGTGGCGATTGCTTTAAGACTGCAAGGGAAGCTCGGCTTCCCTTAAAATGTCACCCCCCCAAAAAAAGAAAAAGTGGTGAAATACGTACTGCTGTGTGTACATTTCATTAACTAAATACGCGCTAGAAAGCCTTCATCTTTTGTTCAGACACTGTGATAAGAAGCTGATAATCACAGGTAACCGGCATAACTTCGTTCTCATTCATCCTCGCAGCGCCTCAGCGCTTTAAACAGCCGGACGCTGGGCTTCTGCTGACTTCAATGTTGAAGCTCAAAGTGGGTTGTTCCAGCAGCGAAACTAGACGCTCATTGGATAAATGCTGGACTTTATCCCGCCCATCGGAAGCCCAGCTTCACTGGAGTTCTATGGCGAGAGGGCGGTCCCGACTTTCTCCCGGACTCCGAGCTTCTGCATCCATGATTGGATGAGCTGTCTGAGGCGAAATCCTTTTTTGATTGACAGCTAAACAAGCGAATCAGCGATCTTGAAGAATAAAACATCTACCAGAGCGTTTTCCAAGTTATTCATTCCGTTGTTCTTAACTGCTCCGGAGACTTTACCGATCCTCAGCGACTTTTGTCTTTGCTAAAAACGACTGCCGTTGTGTTTGGCGACTCTGTTCTGTTACATACTAATAAACAAATACAATTATGATGTAGGCCAGAAAAATGAGCTTCCCCTCCTTGAAAGACCAGCAGCCGCCAATGGCGTAGGTCTATGTACACACTGTGTAAACCCAATTGAATCTAGCAAGGACAGAAAAGAAATGCTTAGGCTATCATTTTCCACATCTACGTGGATATTAAAGTCACTGACGACGATGACTTTGTCTGCGAGAAGGACTAATTCAGATAGAAACTCTGAGAACTCTGACAAAAACTCAGAGTATGGGCTCGGAGGGCGATAAACTATAGCAAATACCAGTGGTCTCATGGACTTTGAGGCTGGATGCGGGAGACTGAGAACGAGACTTTCAAAAGAGTTATAATCTAGTTTTGGTCTTGGGTTAATTCTAAGACTGGAATTGTAGATAGCTGCAACTCCACCACCTCGGCCAGAGTCCCGAGGAATGTGAAAGTTTAGGTGGCTAGGAGGAGTGGATTCATTTAAACTGACATATTCATCATGACGCAGCCATGTTTCGGTTAGGGAGAGTAAATCAATGCGATGATCAGAGATTAGTTCATTTATTAACACAGATTTTGAATTTAGAGACCTTATATTCAGTAGACCACATTTTATCTTACTAGTACTTGGTTCAGCTATGTTAACAGTTTTAATTCTAGTAAGGTTCTTGTTATTTACTCCTTTTTTAATTGATCGGTTAGAATTTGAGAGCCGAGTACGAGGGACAGACACAGTCTCTATATTAAAGTGACAGTAGCTAGGAGGCTGCTCTGACAAAAGTACAGAGGAACGTGTAGAGCTGTGGCTATGCTCCCTGATTTCTATGTCAAACTGATTCTAGGAAGCTGCTCTGAAGGGAGTACAGAGGGACGTTTTACACTGTGGCTCTGCTCCCTGATCTCTATGTCAAGCTGATTGTAGCTAGGAAGCTGCTCTGAAGGGAGTACAGAGGGGCGTTTTACACTGTGGCTCTGCTCCCTGATCTCTATGTCAAGCTGATTGTAGCTTGGAAGCTGCTCTGAAGGGAGTACAGAAGGGCGTTTTACACTGCGGCTCTGCTCCCTTGTCTCTGTGTATAAGTGGTAGTGGCTGGGAAGCTGCTCTAAAGGAGGCGCAGGGGGGCGTGTAAGACTGCGGCCCTGCTCCCTGATCTCTGCTTTGAATTGTCAGTGGTTCGGATTAATAAAATCGGCCAGATTTCTGGATAAACGGGCCGCTCCATCTCGAGTGGGATGAATGCCGTCCCGACTAATCAGACCAGGCTTGCCCCAAAATGACTTCCAATTATCAATGAAGCCCACGACATTTTGCGGACACCACCTCGACAGCCAGCGGTTGAATGATGAGATACGGCTACACACCTCATCAGTTGTCTGGTCGGGCAGGGGACCAGAGAAAACTACGGAGTCCGACATGGTTTTGGCATATTCACACACCGATTCCACGTTCAATTTAGTGACTTCCGACTGGCGGCGTCGGGAGTTATTAACGCCGACATGTATTACAATCTTGCGGAATTTACGTTTAGCCTTTGCCAGCAGTTTTAAACTACCTTCGATGTCGCCCGCTCTGGCCCCCGGAAAACACTTAACTGTGGCCGCTGACTTCGCTAATTTCACATTTCGGACTACAGAGTCTCCAATCACAAGAGCGTCGGGCTCAGCAGGTGTGTTGCTGAGAGGGGCAAATTTGTTTGAAATGTGAATATGGTGGTCTAAAGTGGGCTTCTTAGGCCTACTGCTATGCTTCCCTTTCACAGTGACCCAACCACTACTACATCCCGGCTGCTCGGGATCTGCAGGGGGGAAGCTAAGCTAGGCCGACCCGCACTGGCTACCGTGTCCTGGCTGGCTACCGCTACACTAGCATCGGTGCGGAGCCGCTTTTCTAAATCTGTAATCCTCGCCTCCAGAGCTAAGAATAAACTACACTTAAAGCAGGTATCGTTATCGTCTAAGGAGGTCGAGGAGTAACTGAACATCTGACACACTGAGCAGAAGCGAGCAGGAGAAGCAGGAGACGGGGGGAAGCCATCGATAGCGAGTGTAGCTAAGAGAAGCTAAGCTAGGAGCTAGTAAAGTAAATGATCAGAGAGATCGCCCGGAGTGGAGATAAAGACGGTGCTTGGTGAAAACTATCAGAAATACTTACAGACTTTCTAAACAAACAGATGTACTGATAGATCACAGAGAGAAAATAAACCAAAACAGCAAGAGCGCTTTCAGGAGGAACGAAACGCTACACACAGTTCAACAGCAAGGAAGGGAATGAAGCAATGCGCACGCTCACCAGTCACCCAATCCAAGATTTCAGCCTCACCTGTGATCAATTATTGACCAATCAATTAGTGGGTGTGTATAAAAAGAACCACAGCACACCAGACCTTCACATCAACTGCAACTTGACCTCTGACAACATGTCTAAGATTCACCCTGAGACCAGAGCTTTGATCATCAAGGGGCTGAAGACCAGATCCACTGCTGAGGTGGCTGACACCTTCAATGTGTCTCAGTGTCAAGTATAAAGGATAAGAAAAAGATTTGAAGAGACTGGAGATGTTTTTGACAAGCCCAGGTCCAGCAGACCCCGCAAGACAACTGCTCTGGAGGACTGTTTGTTGGCTCGAAAATCCAAGGCCAGCCCCTTTTCCAGTGCAGCAGAGCTCCACCAGGTCTGGTCACCTCAAGTCCCTGTGTCAACCAGAACAGTTTGTCGAATTCTGTCTCGACATGGCCTCCATGGTCGAATCAGTGCCCAGAATCTAGCACTAAACAAAAAACAATTAAAAAAATGTGTGGCATTTGCCAAGGCCCACAGCCTGCTAAGAGGATGGACGCTGGAAAAGTGGCAGAAGGTGGATTTTTCTGATGAATCTTCGGTTGAATTACACCACAACCGCCACAAATATTGCAGGAGACCTACTGGAATCCGCATGGATCTAAGATTCACCCAGAAAACAGTTAAGTTTGGTGGTGGAAAAATCATGGTCTGGGGTTACATCCAGTATGGAGGTGTGCAAGAGATTTGCAGGGTGGAAGGCAATATCAATAGCCTAAAATATCAAGAAGTATTAGCTACTTCTTACATTCCCAACCATAAAAGAGGTCAAATTTTGCAGCAGGATGGTGCTCCATCGCATACTTCGATCTCTACAGCAAAGTTCCTCAAGGAGAAGAAGATCAAGGTGCTCCAGGACTGGCCAGCCCAGTCACCAGACATGAACATCATTGAGCATGTCTGGGGTAAAATGAAAGAGGAAGCATGGAAGACGAAACCAAAGACTCTTGATGAACTCTGGGAGGCATGTAAGACTGCGTTCTTTGCTATTCCTGATGACTTCATCAATAAATTGTATGAATCGTTGCCGAACCGCATGGATGCAGTTCTTCAGGCACATAGAAGTCATACAGGATATTAAATATAGATCTCACAGCACCACTACTTAATTCACTGATGTTGTGCAACATATTTTTGTATTTGAATAAATTATTTGTTCAATTTTCACATTACTCTATGTAGGCGGCAAAACTTTTGTCTTGCCAAAATCTGACCTTTCTGTGTTCATTAAATGATCAATCTTTCTTCAGTGAGGGAAATGTATTTTAGATTTTAAACATAATTTGGGAGGGTTTTAGCTTTCATATGAGCCATTTCTAAAACCAATGGATTAATGACAAGTCAGGTTATAAGCCGTTGTTTCTACAAAATGGATAAGCGACAAGACTTTTGTCAGGCACTGTAGAAGATCATGGGAACTCAACTCAAGAGTGCATCAAAAACATTAAACAGTGAAACAGGCCACAGCCATAAATCTTCAGAGTGGCTGTGTTTCCTGTGACTCTCTTTAGGTGCAGAATAATGAGAATAACTGCAAGTGATTCAATTTCAGGTTTAATGGACACTTCACCGGGGTTTTCCATCTGTGCACCACATCGGCAGTGAAACAATCTTCGTCCCATTTGTTTAGCATGTTTATAAGCTAAACTGCTAACTTTACAAATCTATTCCAGGTTCTCTATGGACCAAGAGCTCCCCCTAGTGGTGTTTTCCAAATATGGTTTTGGTCATTCCTTTATTTAATTATGTTGCGCGTTGTATACCTTGTAGCTTAGTGAATGATTTCCCCAAAGTAGATTAGCAATATTAGAAGTAGTAACTGAAAACTCTTTTATACATGAGTTAAGAATGTTTTGATCATTTTAACGCTATGCCTGTCTACCTCATCAGAATATATATCTTAATCATTTACTAAGTACAGATTGACAAGGTTGTATTCCAACTAAGTGTTATCACGTATGTGTTTCTTATGCGCGATGGTGTTTCTGTTAGAAAGATAAATTGGTTTTCATCCCTCTCTAACTTTCAAAGAGCTTCTTAATCCTCAGGTTATAGACTACCAGGAAAACGGGTGATTTAAGTTTACCTTGCATTTAATGTTATGGTTAGATGCATCTGCTCATAAGAAACTATAAAGCGAAACTATACCATATTTGATTTGATAAACAGCATTAATCATAGTGAGTGAGTAAATTAGATCCAACTCGCTTATTAATCCCGCAAGTTAAAATCCATCCCCTCGCAGGTCTGATCAGCCCCCGCTGTGAACAATGAATGGGTGCACGAGCTCCCCCTCCTTTGGTTCACGCCCCACATCAAATGGGTTAAAAGTGCTGAGCTGACTCTTCTTGCTCTCTTACCATCTTTGCTCTTATTGTCTTTTCCCGTTTTTTTGTCTATTCGCCTTAAGTTCAGACTTTTCTAGAAATTTGGATGAAACCATACCCAAGTTCCTTTAAAACATTGTTAGTCAGCTGCGCGCATAGAGTACCTAAGTCTTAGTCTTTTTTTTTTTGTTTAGTTCGCTAAAGTGACTCCTGAGAATGATATCGGCTGGCCAGCGAAATTGTTTTCTTAAGTTATTATCGCGAATTGATCTGCAGTAAAGCTAATCCTGAACGCCCGGAGGACCGACATGCATCATCTGCTGAGCTGCGTTTGCCATAAGATTCCGGAAGGAGAGCGCTGTGGGACCCACAGGGCGCATTTGGCGTGCATTTGGATGTGACGACAGAGACACCGTTCGGCCGGCTGCTAGCCGCCCTGCCAAGACCATCTGTAGCCTGGGCCTTCAGTGATTCGCTCCAAGATTGAGAACCATCATCAATAAGTAGGTTTTAAGTAGGTTTTTTGCAGGTTTTGAAGATCTTTGTTTTTTATTTTGGCACCCTCTCTCCCTGATGTTTTCTGTTATTTAAAGCAGAAAAGCAAAAACAAATCAAACGGTTTAGGCTGCAGAACAAGACAGAAATTGGACAAGTAAAGGTTTAATGAATCCAGTGACACTTCTCAGTGGGGTACACTTAACAAGTCTGTTTTTATTCAGTGGGAAACATTAGTCTCTTACATGTCTAACTTGTTGGTGCAATATGACAGACAGCTACTCGATACAGCAGTGCCTACAGTTAATAAAAGATCCATGTTTACAAGCAAAATAAAACAAAGTTAAAAAGATAAATATTAGTTTGGGTGTAAAGCGCAGCAGTAGAACTGTATTGCATCAGTCTCACATAAATATACTAAACCTCACACTTGTTCTAGGCAGAAACACACACTGGTTGTACAGCAGATGCAGTGTCTATTCTGTCCTGGTGCAGCTCTGCGCTCAGAGACCGCCTAAGCAACCGGAGTCAGAGGAAAGTGCAAGTTTAAAACAACAGTGACACTAAAACATCCAGGGACAAAGACACACAGACAGAGAGAGAGAGAGAGAGAGAGAGAGAGTGGGTGAGATTATGAGTGTGTGTTTGATATCAGAAACACTGCAGAGGCAAGAAAACAGGTCATGAATCTGTCCAGACAAACAGAAAGGAAAAAACACACAAACAGGACATGAATGCAGACTGTGTAGTTGTTACTGGAGCTAAGATCGGTACCTCACAGACCTGCAGTCGTACACAGACTGGACCTAACAGGCCACCGTATGAGGCGGCCTTCACATGGCTACAGAAACATCCGACTCTTTGGGCCGGTTGCGTATGACATGCTCCAGTTGCCCAGAGTCTGAGACGTCGTAGCTGGTCTTGTACTTGGCAAGAATCTTCATCAGGGGACGCAGCTTTAGCCACCATTGCTCCATGGGGATCCTGTGACTGCAGAGAGACGAGAGGGTCTCAGAGCTGAGGTTCAGACTTTGTTTAATGCACAGGAAATGTCTCTAAAACTATTAGCACAAAGCTACTAAAATCTGAGGATCTTAAGTTACAACCCCAGTTTATAACCCTACAAATGTGCAATTTTTATATTTATATTTTATTTACACCCAACTAAATACCTGCAAAAGTTCACAAAGCAAAGATATCAAGTGAGGATGCAAATCTTCTATCAACCTACAAAGTTGTTTTGTTCTTTCTGCACATTTTTGAAGGTTTCCCATATTAGAAACGTGAATATTACTAGTTATGACAGCATATAACAAATCTTGCTACATAGTGTGGAAAAAGATTAGCAGACTCCATTCTTAGAGTGGAATCAATTTAAAAAGAAGAATAAAAAGACCACATAAATGAAGGATGTTTTTCATCTTTTGTAGACTCAGTGGTTGCATACTGACTAATTTTATTTGCACAGCATCCTGACGGCAGGCTGATAAGGCTTGAAATTATTAATTTAAACAGTATGGAGTCTGTTTCTTCAACTTTCATGGCCACAAAGTTCTCCCTGCTGTGTGTTTGTTTCTGGATGTTGTGATGCTGATTTTAGCAGAGTCCTACGGTGGGACAGGTTCTCCTAAAATCTGCAACACATATCTTGTCCACACCACAGCGCAGAGGTGGATAAGGGTGCTCCAGTGGGTGGTAATAATGTGTAATCAGTCTGTCCATCGACAAACACTGTGCTCATGACAACTGATCATCTCCATAAAGTGTGTGAGTAAAAGTGTTCAAGTTTTGCTAGTTTTGCCTGTAAACATGAAGTGAAGGGAAGCTCTGAGGAGACACAGGCTGCAAGTTTGACGCCTGTTCAATATAAACAAGATTTACCATGTACAGGCTGAGGTCAGCGTCTGACTCCTCTTTGAAAGCCCTTATTAAAGACCTCATTTTGCAGTGACTCTGAACTCTATTCACTACATTCCCAAAAAATACCTGTAAATGTGTAAATTAGGTGAGGGACTTGAAAAGTCATTCCCATCAAGACAATTTCGAAAAGCTTTTGGGGGACATTTCTGCCTGGGGTAAAAAGAAATCAGTTTAAGTAAAACTCAATTTTCCTTTCTCAAGGTCTCCTCAAACCATCAGCTCAAGATTACTGTGAGAAGTTTTGACTGACTCTGAAACGGTCTCATCCTCATCCTGATGCCTCTGTATGACCTACAGAGTAAAATGAGATTTTCAGTGTTCAGATGAGTTCTTTCTTTAGACTAAATTTTCCTGTCTGTGTTCAGGTCTGATCATGGTCACTCACCCTGATGTGTTTGTGTGGAGCTCCTCTGGTAAAGTTTAGCAGTCAGGAGTAAGTCAGAAAGCAGGGGAAGTCTTGACATTGACGTCATAATGATATCACGTTGTGTCCTCATGTCCTAAAAAGTCCTAAAGAGTTTAACTGTGGGCATATTTACTTCATTTTGACATCTATTGGGACACAGGCTGTAATGAGTAACGTTGAACTGGTATGTGTGATAAATCAGAGTCACAAGGCTTAGTGCTTCCTGACCTCATGTGACTTTTACAATTGTTTACTTTTGATGATCAGAGGTAGCAGACACCTGTTTTTTTTCTGAAACACTCTGGAGATGAAGTCTAATTATCGTTGTATTGTGGGGTGTTGTGGTACATACACAAAGTCAGTTTGCTCCTTGAGCTGTACGACAGGCTGGAAGACCAGAGCCCTGCGCCGCATCCCCAGCAGACAGCAGGAGTCTTCAGTGTTAGCAAACACGCGACCTGCAGGGAAACACGATGGCGATTACAGGTGCAAACACTGAAACTTTCTTACTTTGTCCTTTTTTGTGTGCAAACATTTAGAATAGACATATTGCAGTGGGAGGAGGACGTTGTTGCCCTTTCTCTTTGTGGATCATTAAAAAAACTATTTTTTTAATGAAATCTACAGGAGGGTGGTGCACCAGCTTTGTAGAAAAAAAGGGGAAAAAAATGATGATGATGTGAACACTTAAAGGCAACACAGAGCGCCATAGACACACGGAAATGTGGGGCAAAGCAGGAGACAGAAACGTGTGGGTTATTCTTTCAGCTGATGCTCAAATATCTCCAGTCCAACAGTTTTACGAAACCTGTGAACTAGAACTATTGAAGCATGGCAGCCGCTGAAAACTGAGTAAAAATGGAGGTGTGATGGCTTTACCCAAAAAGTGCCTGAACAGAAAGAACAGAGAGTGTAAGAAGTTTAAAAAAGAGGCAAAGACAGACAGGGACATGGAGCTAAATAAAAGATTCAGATGGTCATGGAGCCAGCGTGGAAAAAAGTGGATTTACCTTCATCTTATGTCATCCATGTGTTTGGGAAATAGACACAAAAACAAAGAGGAGTTTTAACGTTGATTGTAGTTTTTATACACATGCAGTGTGTTTCAAGACAGAAGTTTCACACAGCTGTTAGTCTAATCTGTCAAGTACATTACGGTCAATTTCTCAGTAAATGATTGACTCTTTCATGGGAATAACTACTGAATAATTCCCTCTATCAGAGACAGAGTGACTCCATGACAGATCAGGGGAGAGGTCCTCTCTACAGTAACACCTCTGCAAGGAGGATACACCACCACAGGCTGTTCCATTAAAGTTGGTTTCATCAAACTTACCCTGTCTGAAGGTCTCTGTCAACTTCTTGGTCACCCACTGCATCGCTTTGGCAGAGATCTTAGTCCCAAAGTTACGGTCGAACGGAGACGGTGCTCCTCCCTTTAATAACAACCAAAATATATCATTTTAAAACACAAAACCAGACCAGAGAGACCCTCACATGGTGCAGTCTCAATGACAACACCCAATGGTGTCTAAAGAGGCTCCATGAAGACCAAAAATGAGGGTCACACCACTCTAGAGAGGCCCACTAATCAAGTCACTCACTAAGTTTTATGATGACCAGTTATTTGCAACTACATGTTTTAATTTTTTTGTGGTCCACAAAATTATGCTGTCATGGCCTGCATTGAGACTTGGCTCATATTCTTTAGGAAGTGTTTTTTTTTTTATTTTTTCTACATTTTTGCATCAAAGTTGAAGCTGCATTTTTTAGTTGTAGCACCATAAACAAGTTAAAATGAAAAAGGAGGGCACTCTGATAACTTTTCAGCACAAACAGAGATTTTGGGTTGTAAAAGACATTTTCATCTCAATCTGGTTAACTCATTTTTAAATAAAATAAATAATGAATAAAAAACTGAAGAAAAAGAGGTTGGTGATGAGCTAGGAGGGGTGGGACAGCTCTGACTGACGCATTAGATTTGATACCAATTTATATAACTAAGTTTCCTTCACTATATTAGCAGGCTAGAGCAGCTCAGCTAGACATAAAAAACTCTCCCATCTCCATTTTGATTTATGCCTCCAAACTGATTTAGGCTGATTTAGTGATGATGTTGTTGAAATGTTTTTTTTTTTTTCTTTGGTTTTTGGGGTCACAGAACAAGCTGATTTATTTCTCAGCACTTTGGCTAACAGTGAAAACACCACTCAATACACAGAGTAGTTTCAATGCAGTCAGGCTCAGCAGCGGCTTTAAAATTCAACATTTAATTTTTTTTACATCTCTTCAGGTTTTGCCGCTACAATTCTTTTGTGAATTACCCCTCAGTCTGTTGGAGAAGCCCTTTTCCTTTCAGATATGTTACACCGCAGTAAAAGAAACGGAAACACAAAGATGACAATACTCAAGATTTAAACAAAAGCCACAGGGACAACCAGCCATCTTCACCTCATTCATTTTTAAAACCATGTGTTTCTTGAAGCTTTTACAGCACTTGTACCAACTTTACTAATCCATAAATCACAAAACTTTTGTTAAATGCTTTTTTGTTCCCATTACTTGCTGCAGACACGGCACAATTTCCCCTCTGGGATCTTCAAAGATTTGTTTGATCCAGTTTTATCTGCGATAATCTCAAGATACACAGAGAGGAAAAACAACAAAGGCCCCTCATGTAATAAAGGGTTTATGCATATTTATGATACAAATATAGAAAACAGTTTATTAAACCCTTCTCAGTTTGGACAAATTGTTCTTCTTGACGATGCTGCATCAGGGAAACCCCTAATCTCAGTCAGAAAAAACTGTAAATACCTGCTGCATGTGTCCCAGCACATTCTTCCTGGAGTCAAAGACTCCTTTCCCCTCCTCAGAGTACAGTTGGTAGATAAAGTCTGTGGTGTAGTTTTCATTAGAGTTTTCATTCCTAAACACACAAAACACAAAAAGATTAATGTTATACTTCTGAGTCTTTATTGATTTATTTGTCCTTCAGAGTTATAGAAACACTCATTTCCTGTAGTGTGACACAAAACTGCTGCTAAATACCAGCTGTTAAATCCATGACATCAGCGTTGGTTGTTTATTGTATAAGTATCTTAACTTCTGATACCGAGGGCTGGAAATACCAGATCACCTGCGCACTACAAAATACAAGCAAAGGAAAGTGCAGATCTCTCTGTAGCAAGGGCCCTACTCATTTAGGCATTTAAATGACTGACTGTGTCACCACCTTGATCATATTTTGTGCATTTTAGACTGCTGTGCAGTTTGTGTGCCAGTGGGTGTTGATCTGTGTCTATCGGTCTGTGGAAGGGGAGTCTTGAGCAGCTGTAGTTTGGGGTTTGTCATGGAGGTGTGCAGACGTCAGATTGGTCCGGCATTGTCACTTCCATTCAAAAAGACCAGATTCGCCTGCAATTGCAATATTACACGACACAAAGAAGACTTGAATAGTCTCTGAAAATGAAGACTTGATCTTGTGCCCTCTAATCTTGTCACAGGTGCATTACAAACACAAACACGCTCAGAATCTCAGGGGTACTTTGTACAAACTGATCATCATCATGATGTGATCCTTCAGCCTTTATAGCAGAACCATAAGACGATCTGGTTTTTGACTCTTTCAGGCCCAGACTGTTGTTTTAAGTGTTCGATAACATTTCAGAAAGGATCTCCGCAGGCCATTTTTATTTATGAGGAAGATGCTTGTTTTAACCATCAAAAGCCACGAGACTCCATTACAGTAATTTCTGATGCCAGTCAACAGAATCTGCTGCATCAGTTACTAGTTTTATGCATAAATATCACTCTAAAACAAACACTAACGTCATTTAAAAGCGACAAACCAGAAACTCTCACTGGAGCACAGGAGCTGCTGATCCATCAGCTTTGATGAATTATTTATAATTAATTTGGTGTCTGATATATACATTGCAGAAAAGTAAGCTATGCAGATGCTTTCTGTACCTGTTAGTCATTCCCCCTTTAAAAATAAATCTGTGTACTCAATTCATTATGTTACCTGAGAACCAGTCCTCTTTGAATGCTGGTCTTCATTTTCTCTGTCAAGTGTTCGACATTGGCCTGCGGGATTAAACAGCAAGTATTTGTTATTGACTAGCAAAATTATTATTATTTTTATTTTTATTAGATGATTGTGGGAATGAGCCTGAATGCCCTCTACTGGAAGAACAGGGAACAATAGAGGAAGAATCTGCTGCTACCCAAAGGTGATTTCAGTCTCACCTGCAGGTCTCGGATGTCAAATGGCTCCTCAAAAATGTAAGCGGCGTCGGCTCCAGCAGCGAGGCCACCCACGCTGGCTAAGTATCCACAGTAACCTCCCATGGTCTCGATGATGAACACTCGCCTCTTGGTCCCGCTGGCTGATTGCTTGATGCGGTCACAAGTCTGACACATGCATACGAGCTCACAGCGTTAGTACACATCAAGTGATTATTACAGGCCAGGTGTTATGACAAAGACTTTTCACTAAGCTAGATTTAGATTTAGGGTGTCTATGCATAAATAAAAAAAACGAATAATCACATAGATTCACTTCAATAATTAACAAAGTCCCCAGAAGCTGGCCGATTTATGAATTTCCCCTCATACTAATAACAAAAGCAACAGGGGAACAAATACCAATAAAAATTCTTGGATTTTTAACTTAATTATCAATTGTTTATTATGTCACATACTCTCTCTTTTTAAACTTTTAATTTTTTTCTTTTTTAATTCAACAAACTACCATAACTCAATCTGTACATGTCTTTTTAATTCTTTACACCCTCACATTGCTTCTGTGTTTACTCATTAATATTTCTATGTAATTTTCTTTAGACTCAGTGTTTTGTTTGTTTGTTATTTTTAAGATTAATTTCTCGTGAAACTGTTATGCCTAAACAAGTAAAGGTCAAACAGTGTAGGATAAATACATCCCACGCAGAAGGACCAGCATGCCCAATCTCTGCGTAAGTTCACCTGCATATTTAAACAACGTAAGATTCAAATGGACTTTACCAGTTATACTGGGTCCATCATGACCTTATAAAAACATCAAGTGAAGTAAAGCTAAAGCCAGTTAACGCTAACAGAGACCATGTGTGATGGTAGTAAAAGTAAATCAAGTGTCAGGAGCTACAGCTGGATCAAAGGAGTATTCCACAGATTTGCTGTTGAACCTACATTACAAAAGCAGACTGAACAAAAACCATTAAAATCAAATCTTTGTGTAAGTCAAGCTTCTTGACTTTACATCATAGATGGATGTATCGAATGTGGTCTCACACAGTGTAACTTTGAAACTTTGGGTTGAATATCTTGTTTTTTCTGAGTGAGCTATGTTCAATTGTTCAAGCACAGGGAAAGCTATTTAAGTTACAGACTTAACTTTGTGTAACTTGGATTTTGAATTCGATGTTACTTTTGGTTAGATTTTCATCCAAATTTAACTGCTGAAAAAATCATCAGCCAAGTCCTTGGTGTTTTCAGGGCTGTGTCTGTCACAGGCAGCTCTGTGTATAATAATCTTATAATCTTAAATTGCTTTAAGGTCTATTTGTCCATATCTTACATGTTAAACATTACACTGCAGTTCACAAGAGTATAAACTACAGATTTAAGAGCATTAAGAAAAAATCATTCAACAGAATAGTAGACATGACTACTTTTTGCCTCTTCAATTATAGGAGCAGCTTGTTTATTCAACAAATGTTGAGTGTTTGGGTTAATCTTGTACTCGTACTCAGTGTTTGAACTACACCTGGGCAAACTCTGAGTTGGGATTAAATATAGATTAAGATGATATTAATTGTCACCTTTCAGCAAATAACCTTGCACCACATTCCCTGCACATTTGCTTTAGTTGTGGGTTTAATCACTGGGTTATTTACTCTTCATCAAGAGTGTTTGCATTTGAATCTTATTCAAGCGCTTCAACAGTCATGTCAGGGTCAAGTCGGCTGCCTTACCTCCACGATGGCATTGAGGGCTGTGTCAGCCCCGATACTTAGATCTGTGCCCGGCACATTGTTACTTATGGTGGCAGGCAGCATACACATCGGGATGCAAAGCTCCTCATAGGTAGCACGAGCCTCATACAGCTGCAGCAGACTCTCAAACGCCTGAAGCGGCAGTATATGAAAACGCGTTAGGGCCAGAGAAGGCCAGGACACTGAGAGAGAGACATGAATCTCTCTCCATTAGTTTGAGCGCATCCTGCCATTCCGGCTCTTTCCGTGTGATAGCAGCAATGGCTTCCCTTTGGCAGAAAGTATGGGAGGGCGAGTGAGTAGAAACATGAAAAAGACGATGAAGAAGGAAGAAAGGATGACAGAGCAACAGAGTTGAGCCACAAAAAGTAAACAGAGAAGAGAGGTGATGGGAGAGACAGAACAGGGTGAAGACAGACAGACGGGACAAAGTTGTGTGTGTTTTGTCTCAGCAACAAAATGCGATGATGCTGCATGGACAACCACATGTCAGAGGGTCATATATGCTGTGGAGGGGTCTATGCAGGCAAACAAGCAAGTCTGAATACAGAGGAGGAGGAGGAATCAAATTCAAGCTCAGATGCTTTTCTTGTAGATAACTTTGGTCAAGGTTGCTTGCGTACCTTTATTTTTTTTTAAAACCTGAATCCCTTTTTATGTATCTTTTGGTCTAAATGACTTTTAGGTGAAAAATAAAGGTCTGTCTTTGCACGGACCCGTTCTGTAACATCTTCAGACACTTACAACAAAGATCTGCATCTGTTATTTCAAATAAAATCACTCTTATTGAATAAACGTATTCAGGGATTACCTTGCAGCAGTGACATCCTGTTACTTGGCTGCTGGCTGAAGAAATCTACATGAGTAATCCCTTCATTTGTCATTCAGACCCCAAATATAGCCAAAAATGGGCCATTCAAACAAAGGCAGACAATCCTGAGTTTTTTGGGGTTATTGGGAAGCTTTGAAAAAAAAGCTAAATGTATTATTCAGACACAGAGTGCAGTATTTCTTTGGTGTACCTGAATAGTTAACCCATCAGCAGCTCTATTCATAACTGAGCAGATACAGTGCAGGTTCAAGTTATCTTCAATTTTTGGTCTGTGTTTTGTAGCAGAAGGTGTAGACCAACTGGACACAGTCAGACCTGCATGCTGTTAACAACTCGTTTTAGTGTGAGTGGTGTTGACAAGTACAAACACACAGTAAGGAGGGAGTCAGGGCAGGCAGAGCAAACATGGCGGTCACGGCACTCGTGCAGCTCACAGCATGCCTCCATGTTGTCGCTCACTTACCTGAGAGGGAAGGGAGGGACGCTACTCTGCGACAGGATTTATCTTTACCAGTCTAGCATTACAGATTTATCTTTAAGTATGGATACTTTTTTCATTTTTAAGTGAAGCTCAATCCAAAGACTTACTCCAAAATTGTCCTTGACAGACTGGTGAAATGAGCGAGTGAGCCATTTCTCCCTTCTGGAAACATGATTGGCTGGCTGGTTATGCAAGCTCAAGCATGTTTGAGTGTTTGTCTGTCTTCATATTCATCTGTGTGTTGCTAAGATCATCTACTCTGGTTGCCAGTCCCATCACTTACAGTAGTGATGGCGTTCAGAGCCGTGTCAGCGCCAATGCTGAGGTCTGAGCCCGGCACATTGTTGGAGACAGTGGCTGGGACCATGACCATGGGCACACAGAACTCGTCATATTTCCCGCGCGCCGTTAACAATTCCAGCAGTGACAGGAAGGCCTGCAGGGCAGAGCCAAGGGCTTTAGTGTCTGTGAGGGTGGAGCTTTTGGATGCTTGGTTTGGTTGAGAGGTGCTACTTGCCACAAAAGGAGGGAAGAGACAAAAGTGAAGGGTGCCAAGGGGAGGAGCCAGGTCTATCACAACGGACAGCAGCGAAACAGACAGGTACCACTCCACAATACACAATAAAGACCTCACGCACACACTCACACACACACAATTATACACTTATTTACTTGCATTCATCACAGCAAAATAAAGCTGGTGAGCATCTAAACAGGATTACGTGAAATGGCTGGAAAAAAGCAGGTGCTCTGTTTCCTACTTAAACATAGTCATCACATTATTCATCAGTGGAACTTAACTTTTTATTGCAATAATCAAAATGTCAAAAGCTTTAGAACAATGACTGAGAACCAACTGTGTGGAAAGTTATTTCACAATTCATGTTGTTCTCGAGAGATGACTGAAGCATGAGAATGACACACAGACGCTCTGAAGGGGGAGTGAGGAACAAAAGAAATCCCTGACTGTTTTTCTATCTTCTTTTTTGAAAAAGAAAGTGTGAATTATTTTCTTTTTAACAAAGTTCTGGAAATCTTTAACCTTATAAACAGGAAGGAGAAATTTAAAACAGCTTTGACAAAGATGTTGCAATTAATCCTTCAAGGTTTGTTTGTGACATTTACAACAGATTTTTTAACAGCTTACAACACTTTTACAATGACTTCTCATTGTTAGGATTAAAATAAATGGCAGGATCACTTTTTAAGTTTGTTTATTTCCCGTGTTGAGCAACTACTTTGAAAAAAACAAAGGAAAAATAAAATTAAGAATTTAATGTTTCAAGTTTTCAAGTTCGTTTATTTAAATCGTCCAAAAAGTGAGATGAAATTAAGAAACAATTCAATAACATCAGGCTTTTAAAAAATATTTTTGAGCCTCACTTGCCCCTCAGTGCCTCTGAGATAGAGCCATATGATGGTTTGCAGACAAAAAAACAGGGTAAAAATGGTGGAAAGGAGCCAATCACAGTGTTCACTATTATAAACTGTACAGCACACAAAGACATTAGTGTTTCTATAACAGCTCTGAAAGTTTTAAAATGTTTAAGCAAAAATTTCACATTTTTTATACTGAGTTATAGTGTGAGCAATACTTTACTTTTAGAAATAACAGCCAGTAAGATCATCAAACTGAAAAATGAATATGTTGCCACAATTGCAAAATGAGCTAAAAGGAAAAGATGAAAACGTACCTCAAATCCACCGATAACTAGCAGCGCATTAATGTTGTGCTTTCTCATCTGCTCTGCAATTTTGTCAACATGCTTCGCGGGAAGCGTTCTGAAAGAGGGAGAAGAAAGAGGTTAATAAAACAAAAAACTACAAGACATACATGGACTGCGTGGACTGTTTTCATCATATTTTTGCATTTATGGTACAACTGCGGGTTAGAGATCTTTGCCCACTGCGTAAACCTTTCACTTATCATCTCACCGTCTGGAATTGTCTGTGATGTGAACGGGCTCTCAACAGTCTAAGAAGGAACTGTTTCATACTGAGATTCAGCTTTTACCTTTTAGTTCCCAACAGAGATCCACCTTGTCCTGTCCATCCTCCAACATCAGCCCATTTAATCTCTTTAATCTGACAGGGAGACAAAAGCGACACGTGTAATCCTTTCTGTTTATTCGAATTCCTATTCTTTGTTAACATGTATTTATTCAAAGTGACTTCAATTCTCTAAAATTATCTCTCTTATTTCAAATATCTTTTGTACATTTGGATCACACAAACAACCTCCAGCACTGGCCAACATTCAGCCTTGGACACGCCCCCCTTGAGTCTGACCTTGTTAGCAGCAGAGTACATTTTCTGGACACACTCTCTTACGTCTAACAAATGAACTGGACCACAGAAAACCCAGAGGTGAGTCCCAGAGAGTCCCAGAGCATTGCAGTATAGAAATCCATTACTCCTGCTGCTCTAATCTGCTTGGGGTCAGTTGGCTCAGTCTGATTTCAGCCTGCTGGGGCACACAGGGTGTTTAACTAACCACTGGTGTTGGAGACATTTTGATGAAGACAAATGGTCTGGTCTTTTGTTAAGTGCTTTTCTTTCACTGAGAGGATTTGAAACGCTCCAGTGGGAAAAAGTCAGGAGAGGATAAGAGAGAAGAAACCAGTTTAACCAGTCTGTTACAGGGGAGGGAACTGGCTCGTATTACTTTGTACAGGTATCCCTAATACTCACATCTCATATCTATTGTCTGCCTTTACTTTTCCCTGAAAATGAAAACTCCATCCACAGCAGGTTCACATGAAACTCTATATAGACTTAATGGCTCAAGGCTTTTCTCTATGTTCAGCCTACTCTGCTGCACTCTTTTGGTCAAACGCTGTACTGTGGCAACTTTGTTTGAGTTGAGAAGAGAAACCAGGTAATCCAGAGTTGACTTCATTATCATCTGTCAGTGATTAAAAAATGTAAGAAAAGAACTCTACCTTGTTCTTTAGTGCTCACAACACAGAAGTGGATGAATCCGTCTTCATTTCAAATATAAAATAGAGGGATGGCAAAACTACTAATAGAACAGAATAAACCATGTTTCAAGATAACAGCTCCAGATTTCAGATACAGGCTCAAAAAAGTAATCCTTTTTCCTCCTTCCAATACACCAATTATTTTTTTAACATTGAGTTTTGTAATGAACATCCATATAAACTTTCGATGTCAGTGATCAGACACAGATATGCACCTTCACCATGTGGCTAATTATAAGGCTTGACTAGCCTGCTCTGCTGAGTCATAGTGAATAAGGCTGTGACTGGATGATTGCTGGTGGGGAAGGAGATTTAGAACAGCATAGATTTCAGTAAATGTACCTGTGTGTTGGTATAGTACCTACCTGTCCCTTGTAGAATCCTTCGAAGCCATCACTGACAGCAAACATCTTGTGCCCCTCAGAGATTCCCACCCTGACGGCTGATCGAACAGCAGCATTCATCCCAGCTGAAGGGGCTCCGACGTTCAAGATAGCAATGTTGAAGTTGCTCTGAGAGCAAAAAACACACATGAAATAACATTGCATATGTTTAATAATACAAAAGTGTACTGCAGTTGTTGGAGGACAGTTGATCAAGCTTTGCAGAGTAAATCAATAAATATATTCTGGTGTGCTCTCAGCTCCCTGCTGGGCCTACAGTGGCCATTATCACAGATGTAGGGAGAGCGGAACCCTGCAGCTAGCTCCACAGCATGGGGTCTGCTTGCTGAGCTGCCTCTACACTTCACCAGTCTTCAGGTCTGCCCAGCCACAGCAGCAGGCAGCCACAGCTCCCGGCAAGGTTGAACAAGTCATCCCTCAGCAGGGAGTCAGGTGCCATCTGATATTACTACACAGCCGAGTCGAACACACCAAGCCTCATATGAGCCTTTCACTGTAATTACAGGCTGTAAAGCAAATACAAGGTAACAGCAAGCAAGTAGAGACTGTTTATCATGAGCCGGTAAATATCAATACTGGTCGGGCTGTTACAGATTGCAGCTAATCTGCGATCCATTTAGACCAACCCCCGTGATTCTGACTACATATGATCTGCGGATTGATGGAAAACATACCATCAGAGTGTAAATATCAATGTACTGCTACTAAATCTATCTTCCTGCAGAGTGTCAGTGAAAGGAATACATTTGATGCAGTACATGTGCTGACATCCCCTAAAATACCGGTTTGCATTAGTGTTTTGCAGACTTTGCCATAAAAACAAGCTAAAAAGTGTAGATATGACTCAGTGTGGTTACTGCTAACTCTGCTTTGAGTTTCAGCAGTTTCATTGCACAGTGTCTGTAGTTTTTGTGCAGGCATTTATCAGTAAAGTTCATTTTTTGTAACCGGGTGACTCTATATTTCTAAAACATTTTTTTGTAACTCAGTAAGTGATTGAGGCAGCTGTATTTCTGCAACTCTCGTGTCATAAAAGGTAAAACCTGATTTTAGAGCCCTTGAAGGAAGCAATCAAATTATTTTTCCAGGGATCCTCTTCAACACAAAGGTCTGTCTCCATCAGAGTCTTCTCTGTAAAACTGCAAATGATTTATAATAAGTCAATACTATAAAACCACATAATTTGACCAGGTGACATTTCACCTGGCAGAAAATACAGTAATCATACAGCCTTCAGCAGGGAAGCACAGACACAACATTTAGCCAACAGTTACTTACACCAGTAACTAAACTACACATTTAAAGGAACTGAATTAGTGAACAGCATGACTACTTGCTAAAGCTGAGTCATTACTTGTAGGTAGATCCTTTGAACACTTTGATAAAAATTAAACATCTCTGTGGCTTTGAGAGATCATTTCAACCTGCTCGAAATAGTCTGGACTCCAGGTGTGGAGGGGACTGCTACTGCAAAACCAAGCTCTCTGCCTGTCAGGAGAGCCAACAGAAATACAAAAACAATGTGTAGTGACTCACAGTCGGCAGTTCAGACTCAGGTTTACGATGAGCCAGCAGTTTGTACGTCTTCAGGTTGTTTTCAAAACTCCTGCAATGGAAAGTGGGACATGGAACATTGTTAGCTCAACAATAAGGTGTGCTTCCACTGCTACTCAAATCTTATTTACAATTTAAAGATAAAAACTGAGTCCTTTAAATTTTCTGCATAATTATCATTACCATCTGATTATTACCCATGCTCTTTGAGTAAATACATTAGCTGTGGCCTAGATGTCATTTTGCCACTTTGCAATGTTGGTTGGTACTGTTGGTTTACCAGACTGGTCCCAGTGACGAGTCAGTCATACCTGCCCCGAAGCTTCACAGCCTCCTCAAACCGTTTCTCATCCATGGCTTTCTGGACCTCTTGAGTCTGGGGTGAAGAAAGAACATTTTAACTATTCATATCAGTTTGAAAACAAGGGTACAAATGTATAACAAGTTAAAACTGGGACTTTGCAATCCAATTAATGCAGAAATAATTCTACGTGTGCATCGGAAAACTAAACAAAGAGATACAGACAAATGTTGATGAGTAAATAAAATCACTGCAATCATTGCCACTTCCTCCTCTATCTTCTTTGTCCATCTTTGACATCTGTTTACGTCATCCTTACTAGTTTAATGAGCGCCCCCACAAGGGGTTACATAGTAGTGTCAAACTGTGAGGGAGTTTTTTTCTTAATGGTTGTATCACACAAGTGACCAGCAGGGTGCTTGAAAATGGATGCTAGGAGAGGTAGTTACTGGTTTTAGCCTCTATATTTGTTGCAGTGGTAAAAGGATGCCCTCAGATTTTGTTTTCCTGAGCCAGAAATAAAAATAGGAATGATTCAACTATTAAAGGGGAGGCGTCATTATTTATAACAGTAACAATATAAACCAGCAATTAGACCAACTTTGATCTTTCAAGAGTACATTTTAGGCTGAGAAGGAAATACACAGGACCAAGCATATTACCATCTATTCCAGTTCAAACATTTATTACTTTAACCTTATTTTGACCTGCTATAAAAGTGTCTGTCAAACTTGAGTGTAAGTATAATATTGTAACCATTCATGTCACCATTCAGGGTGGCTGAGCTGTGTAAGTGGAATACTTCAGATATTTTGGTGCTTGCCTGGTGGTGCCACAGGCCTCCGATAACCATCCTAAACAAAAACCTTCTTCACCTGTTTACCATCACTCAAGCTCTAAAAATATGCCATGTTGTTATCCTATATGGAGACTTTCTACCATCTGTATGAGGTCAGCAGAATGTCTAACTGAGTGAATGGCTTCAAATACCTGATCAATCAACTTTATTTCTACAGCACATTTAAAAGAACCATGGGGGGTAGCCAAAGTGCTGTACATTGTGAAATAAAAACAAATAAAACAATCAAAGAACAAGATAGAGTGAGCCAAAATACATAAATGCAATAAATAGATGAATATATAAATAAGCAGGCTCACGGCAAGTGCTAAGATGAAAACAAACAAAATAACACTAAAATGTATTAAAAGCCAAGGAATAAAAGTGTGTTTTTATAAGGGATTTAAAAACAGGAAACGAGGAGGCCTGTCTAATTGTCAAGGGCAACTCGTTCCAGAGCTTGGGAGCAGCTGCGGCAAACGCTCTGTCACCCCTGAGCTTCAGCCTTGTATTGGGGACTGTCAATAACAGCTGATCAGCTGATCTTAGGGGTCGGGGTGGCAGTAAGGCTGGAGCATCTCGGAAATTATCCACATCATACATGTCCTGGTTACTCTTGTGGCATGATGAAGATGTGACCCAGATCTGAAACCAGTAAAACTCGTAAAACTGATTATCAGTGTGAACCTTCTATTCTTTAAGCATTGACTATGGATAGGCATCCTCACATTGAGCCACTTAAAAAGAGCTTTCAATTACAGTAAACAGTAGTAATATTTCCCCTTGAGTTTAATCCAAACAATGTGAGTACAACAATAAAGCTTCTATGTGCTTCAGTGGGGATGGGTGGCTATTACATCACCATGCTGCAGGCAGCCATCGCCGGTGCTGCCAAATACCTCAAATAATCATTAGCCAAACACAACTGCCTCCCAAACAATACAGCTCTCTTGTGAACATTAGAGCTCTCCAGGCCCAATGGGCTGTGCTGTTTGTCATCATTACTTAAGCTCCTCCAGCCGTCCCAATCGACTCTCTGCTTCCAGCCGAGTCATTTCACAGTGTTTGTTTGTTGCTGTAGTTTCCTTCCTCCACTCAGCTCCCATACTTTTATAAATAAATGTTTGTGTGTTGAAAGTGTGCTAGTATCAGCTTGTTTCCAGCCTGATCCAGTGCCTACCATCTGTACACACTCCATCAGAGGCAGCCGCACAGACTGGTTACCGCACAGGGAGACCACGCAGGCTGGTGTGTTTGCTGTGGTCTCAAGAAGAGCAAGGACGGCCTCCACACCCATACGACTGGCCTGTGAGGAAAAAAACACAGAAAATGTATGATTCTTATTTTTAAATCATCCTACAACACTGAAAATAAGTTTTTTGTTTCTACAATTACAGAACAAAGACTGCTTTTTACATGCCACTGTAAGTCATGTTATCCTGTACTTTGAAATTCTTTTTTTTCATGCTTAATGTGCTGTTTGTCTTGGTGACTTTTATGGTCTTCAGCCTCATTTTAAGACAGCTATATGAGCATACGATACACAATTTAACTGGTAATGAGACAGTTAGGTTTAAGTTTGTGAAGATGCAGCTAATGTGAAAACCAGAGCAGACATATCAATGTTTAAAACATTAATCTAGTTTATGTAGCTGTTTTTGCATTACCTGTTTTTAATGACACCAGATGTTTAAATAGTTGATAGTCCCTCTTTCAAAGTCTCTCTTAAAAAGGTCTTACAAACGCTATATTGCTGCTCTATCTCAGTGACCTGTAAAATTTCCACACTCCACTATCTTCCATGCTTGATCATTAAAACAAATGAGGACTTCTTCTGCCCAATAGATTTACACTGATGTGAAGAAGACAATGATAGAAGCATCAAAGAAATCTTTCTGCATTGACTTTCTATCAGTCTATCAGCTCTGTACCCGAAGATGGTATATCAAAAAGTTCCTTTTTGTCCATGTCATTAGTGCCGGGTGTTGTTCATTGCTCCCCTTAAGAAAAAAAGAGTTAGCACAGAGACCTTCCACAACACCTTCAGCCAGCTGGTTTATTTAAAAAACATACTTAGACACCACCCTGACGGCGGCTGTGATTTTGAGTGTGTCATCCAACTTGGGGTAAAAAGTTCATATTTGACCCACAATGAGCGACTTGAATTTAAAATACATGGCATTTTAATGCATCAGTCCAGTTGAGGCAGTTTTATCCAGCAGAGGGCACTCTCATAATGTAATCTGACCATTGCATGGCATTCTTGACCCAATAAATTACTACAGTGACACTTTTCTACTGAAGCGGAACTTGTGTGCTGCAGTCGAGGCCATCCTGAGAGGACAGTCAGTGGATTTAAGCACATTTTTTCTTGTTTTTTTTTAAGTTGATCTAATTCTGTACATATTGATGAAACACAAGTTTCTCACCTCCTCTAACCCCTTTCCCCAGCAGGGTGGACAGGCTTATAAAAAAACCAAAAGGACCTCTGCTGGCAGTCATGTTTGCTTTTCTAGCCCAGGCACAGTCAACAGCATTAGTTTCAGTCCACCTCATTACCAGCTTATACCTTCCGACCAAAGCTTCAAGCTATCTTTTCTAATTATTTCTTTATTTCTTGCAATAAAGGAAGAACTTTTTCGGTCAGTTTTCTTTTATACTGTAGACACAGCATAAATTCTTGACTTCATCTTTTCTTTCTGCCTCTGTTTTAGCTGGTTTGCAGCAAACAGGAAGAGATTTGTCAAACACTTGTCTGTGTTACAGCGCGCCAAAAGCTGAGCCACAAATCTGTTAATGTTCTTAACCTAAAACCTGAGACTATCTCTCTACACACACACACGCACGCACGCACGCAAGCACGCACACACGCACACAGGATTAAATAGGAAGCGCTCTAGACCACTGAACAAGTCTGGATAAAAAAAACACCTCAAATACAGCACAAGTTAAAAGTCAGTAGACAAAAATATTACAGAGAATCAAAAGTCAGATAGAGTCAAAGGGAATGGATTTAGCCCCCTACTGAAAAGATCACAAATCAAACATCAGAGTTCAACCTTTTTGACAAGATCAGCAACTAACTGTTTTACATATTGATCAAACATCTGAAAAAGCATCTAAAAACAGAGATCAATGCCTTCACAGAGGTGAAGCATAAAGAACTGATATTAGGAAATTCAGCCACAGTCAGCAGCTCATTGTGTAACTGTTTCCAAGTGAACTGTATAAGAGCGGTGACTTAGCATGACTTGATAATAACTCAAATGATAAATTTAACATGAAAATAAGTGTTGGACTTACCAGGATGCGGTCAAAAGCCGAGGGGGTTCCTCCTCTCTGTACATGTCCCAGGATTGTCACTCGTGTGTCGAAACCCAAGTTTTTAACAACAAGCTAACGAGGATAAAATTGAACAGTCAGTGGAAATAAAATGGTGATATATTCACGGATGCCACTCACAGAATATACTTTAAACTTTGATAAACTTTGCTTTGGTGAAACTTTAGTGGCCTGCTCTGGTAAGAATCTTGTCTTATGATACATAACATAATACAGAGGTAGCAATCCACCAGTCGAGATACTGATAGAAAGGCGATACATCCTGTTTTTAAGCAAATTTAATGAGAATGGTAAGAATATAAAAACATACTTCCATGTGCACAATGAGATGAAATTGAAATCCTCCAACAGGTTTTTTAAAATATTGATACTACTTCTGGAAAACCCCTGATAATGCAGGACTACAGGTAATACAGCCATCTATTACTATATGTTAATAACTATATTAGAAATTTAAGGAGAAAGACATCAAATGACACCCAATGAGGGTAAGCCAAGGAGTATCGCATTGGTATCAGATCACTGTATAATGTCAGCTAGTGGTGCAATTGATGACAGCTGATCCCTACAGATCACCCACTGAGGTTTGAACATAGACTGTATATACTATGGACAACTTGGTTCCGCCTACCGCCTGTATCTGAAGCCAAATAGCTCTCGGTATTTCCGGGATTTTTCTTCATTTCCTTGAAACCAGAGCTATGCAGTAGCAATGCGCTCATTCGGCCGCGCAGTCGCAGAGTCGCTGTGATGACGCTCGGCTCAAACAGCATATCCCCCGGGAGAGCTACGCAATCCCTGAACGCCCATAGGCTGTATCAGGTGCCAATCATAGCAAACATGGACCCCCTAATAACTTTTAAAAACGGAGCTTCACAGAAAAAAGAGGACTTGAGCACAAACCAGTCTTACAATAACTACATGTCAACATCACAAGCAGGGGGGAGAAAAAATTATGTTCTGTGTAATAAATTTCAGTTTGTCCACAGTCCCATAAGCTTCGCTGGCGGAGGCGGGATTTATGACCTATACCGCAGCCCATCAACAGAGGGTGCTGTTCTCGGAGTGGCTTCACCCAGCGAGGAGGCAGACTCTGTCCATTCTATATACAGTCCATGGGTTTGAATCACATCAGTCACAAATCAGCACAATTTGTCATCATGGTTCTGAAATAAACTCCCTGATAAAAAGGTGCTAGTGTAGAGGCTGAGAGAAAATAAAGTAGCACTTAGTGATGTGCAGAGGTGCCATGGACATTAGTGGTTGACTGATAACAGATTTTTGATGGCTGATGCCGATAATAACAGAGCAGGTTGGCTAATATGTGCTTTGCTGTTATCTCAGAGTTTTTCTGTTTTTTATTTTGTTTTTATTTTGCAAGAAAAAAGTTCTGATCTCGAGATAACATTTTAACAAAAATATTTGTCCCACTAAATATGCACTGTGCAAATGTGAAGGAAGATGGTTCTTTTAATAACTGCTGTGAAACTTCTGCACAATCTTTACCTTTCAGAAGCATCATATTGTGTGTTCGACTAACTTGTGTCATACACTGCCTCATTCTTTCCTTTTGCTTCTAGCATGTCTGCTTGTGCCACAAAGGTATGGCAGGTGTGGCATGAGTTTATGTAAATTGGTTGCAGATTGTGTTTCCATACAACACAACAATCAAAGCCACCATGCAGGTAACTAGCTGGATTGCAAACTGGTGAAAATAGATCGTGCTTAGAAGAGCTGAAGAGCTACACAATGTGGATTCTGCTAAACATGTTGGAAATAGATTTTCGGGTAACAGTATTAATTGTTTTATCCTCTTTTTGCAAATTGGTGTATCTTATGTTTCAGATTTTGTAGCTATAAAAAAGCTGTAGAAAACTAAGTATTAAAGGCCATTTTCAATTCATGGCTAGTTGAAAAGTATAAAATCCACACCCTATATTTTGGGCTGATCCATGAGACAAATCAGTGATGCAATCAAACCATCAGATTTGTGATCCATTGCACCCTTAGCACCAGTCAAATAGGAAAAAACAGTGTAGGACAATATCTGTCTTACATCCCTGCACACAAACAATCATTCATCTCATGCATGTAGAATACAGGTTAATGTAACTTAAAGTCTGCTACGAACTATTCTATAAAACTAACATGCATTCATATATTTTTCATACAAGGATAGTCACATCAAACACTGAAACACCACCACAGTAGAAAAGCTTGAAGAGAAAGGGAAACAGCAGAGCACATGCAAGCCATTCTAAGTTTTCAGTCATGTTAGGGAGGATTCTGAACTTCAACTGAACATCACAGGAAATCCCAAGCTGGAGGAGTAAATAAAGATACTCAAGCACCATTGGAGGAAATGAAAAGTCTTCACATACTGGCCTCGCCACAAGAACAGTTAGTGCAGGGTCAGGGTCTGAGGTAGTCTTCATGTGAAAATTAAAGCACCAAAACATAACAAAATGCAAAGCTGTGTGAGGCAGTTACCATGTAATGTCTGGGAGTGAGGTTTAGTAAAAGTGTTTGCTCAGGAGGAGGAGTACAGTGACAGCATTCTTACCAAACTAGAGAGTGATTCTGACAGAGCACTCCAGAAAACACAGCGGTCAGACAGAGTCAAAGCCACACCAGGGCAGCAGTACAGTAGTAGAGGTCATACAGGAGGCAGTCAGAGCTGGAGCTTGGCACATGTCAACTTTCTATACTTACATTCTTCACATAGTCAGTGGTTATGAGTTTGTTGTTACGATCAATCGCCCCTTCGGCTACAATTATGATATTCAGCCTTTTCATTCCTGCTCGGTTCTACAAGGAGGGGTGGTGGAGAAACAACATGACAGAAAAACTGAGACCGTGGCTGTGACATGGGCTCACAGAAGCACGGGGGCCGGACCACGGCGGCAGCATGAGAGCTGCAGACAGATTGGTTTTTAATAAAAGCAGATGGTGTTTACACTTTGTAATAAGCAATTTCCTGCTGACCTTGTTGCTTGACTTCACTGTAATATTACAGAAAAAGCACACATTGTCATGATTACCTTACCCAAAAGATGAGAGATCTCCATCCCCAGAAGAAAAAAACATGGTGAGTTCAGTATTTCTAAACCAGGACTCTACTTTTACATATTTGGGAGTACATTTTAGAATCAAACTACCAGATTACTGCAACTAGAAACTGTCAAAGAGGCTGTAATGGCTGCAACATAGCCCCTGGAGGCAAATGCAACACAAGTCAGTACAGTGCACCCATCAACACCGCTCATTTTTGCCTCAATCAGGCTCAGATTAATATTTCAAAGTCTGATAACAGAACTACTGGGATCCTTTTAGTGACAGTCCTTTATGATGAGGGAATATCTTGGACCTCTTTAGCATAAAGCAAACTTGTAATCCACTATGTATTTGTTTAGATTTATGGTGAAAGAATTAGGAGCCACACTAGAGAGTCCTTTTCTCCAGGTGATTCCTCAGTTTAAAAAGCAGTAAGGCTCAGCTGCTTTTTTTTGTACCCATTTCTTCCATTTATGCAAATACAACAAATTCAACTAATCTAACTTGAGCAAATCTGGTACTTTGAACAAGATAAGTACGTTTTCTACCCCACCTTGATGTGGTTTGCCTAAAAACCTCCTGTATCCTTTTCCTCATAAAGTCATGTGATATTCAGCTGCTGTGACAGCATTTAAAGTGGCGTTACAAGGATGAGACAAAATAACAGTGAACCCACGAAGCAAACAGGGTGGAATAGCACTGTGTGTGTACATAGCTGATATGATGTGTCACACCTACCACCAAGTGACACTTCTGAGGGAGGCGGAAGTTTCTGCCGAAACATGTCAAGGTATATGAAAAAGATTACATGTCTGAGATAAAGGAAAAAAAGAAAACTGTTTCTAAGAAACCAAAGACACAATGAACACCATTCAACTAACTGTGTGTGCATGTCTAAGCAGGTGAATACGAAGCCCCCACTGTCTTCAGCTTTTGTGCTTCTGTTGTGAGACTCAAATGTGGGAAAGTTCAAAAGCTGTGATGGTAGTAGACTTGCATTGCTTAACTGTTTTTACAGTAAATAAATATACAGTAAAAAGGGCTAAAAAGTATAAATGTAGCAGCCATAACAGTTTATTTCATATTTATTACTCATTTCATAGCCCACATTTTTCATATCTCACTTAGGATGTTTAGTATATTTAGCCTGTATTTATTGTATATATTTAGTATTTTTAGTCTGCATTGTACAAACTTCTTCTTATATTTAATTTTATTTGGTATTTTTTGCTGCTGTAACAAGAGAATTTCCCAGTTTGGGATCAATAAAGTATATCTATCTTATTGACACAATCTACGAAAATCATTCCCATACCTTTAAAAGCTCCAAACACAAGAGTCCAGGTTTAAAGAAATACTGCATTCACCTTTAGGAAACTTTTTTGTGCTGATAATCTTGGCAGAAAAACTGCATCAAAACTGTTACAAAGGACTTTTTGTGGCCTTGTCAGGTCTCCATGCTTCTGGCTTCCCCTTTCTTCGCACTCAGGTACTCACATCCTTCAAATAATTAGAAGTTATAGGCTTCCCATGCCTGTCAATGGCTCCCTCTGCAACTATGATTATGTTCAGCCTTGAGCCCCTGGAGCGGGTCTGAATCATAAAACAATGGCATATTTCCAATGCAGGAAGAGAGCAATGAGACAGCAGATGACTGAGGCTAAACACCGTCCTTATCATTTCTGTTGGATAAACTAGTCCAGATTCAGACTTTCTAAAAAAGAGAAAACTTTTACAGAATCATAAAATTATTGTCAGAGTTAAGAGGACACACAGCAGGTATTATACTAAGACTTATTCTAGTAAACCAAAGTTTACAGGATTTACTGTGGGGAACAAATGAGATCATGTTACCGCAGACAATTTCTGACACATCTTGTCCTCCCAGCCATCCTCAGGGGGCATCTCAGGGATCAGCACCCAGTCTGCGCCACAAGCCAGGGCGCTCACCAAGGCCAGGTAGCTAAGATAAAGCACACAGACCTTGTGATTCTATTTGTGTAAACAGAGCTGATAGAAGTCTCTGCCTGAAGAATTGGAGATCGCTTTATCAAAGTTTATCAAAAGCAGTCTTACCCACAGTGTCTGCCCATGACCTCCAAAACAAATGTTCTCTGGTGACTGAAAGATTAGAAGAGAACATACAAATCAGCAGTGCATTCAAACAGTGTATCTGCACTTTTTTTTAAGTTAAACTTCTGAGAACCTCTTAAAGCTTAAAAAAAAAAGACTACAGCAGCAAACAAAACTGATGAACTGGGCTACAGTCAAGACTATAGCTGAGTTTCAATGTCTGAATAAATGGTTATACAATGCATATCAGCTCACATCTTTATCGTCCTGATTCAAAAACTATAAAGAATTTAAATAAATATGTCAAATCCACATCCCCACCCACCGTCAGATAGCAGACTAGGGATATTATGATGATCTCTCTTTCTTTTGTTTAAGGATGGAGCAAACACTTCCTAAAAATGTGTGAAGTCTGCAAAATCTACAACACCCCTGCCTTTATAAGTGCTGACTGCTGCCTGATAACTGATTTAGCAGGCCAGTGGAAACTTTTCAGAGGGGTCATACTACCTGCCCCTGACTGAATGTCCCACCTCACCTTAAGACAGTCCACACATTTAAAAACAAACATTTTTAGATCTTTATGTCTGGATAATATTGTTGGACTGATGTATTTAAGAATAGACATTCAAAGGATGATGAATGAATTGATTTGCCTGAGCTAGTTGATATGCTTTGAGTGCTAAACCAAACTGTCCTCTGAATGTGGAAAAATACAGAATTATTACTTTTCCTATGCCAGGAAGTAGCCGGCCCCATTTTGGGAGCTCTAGATTAAGTCTTGGGGCTCTATTTTGGTGCCTCGCCGGAGACGTGCTGCAAGCGCAGCATCAGTCAGATCCGCCGCGCTGACAAGGCGTTCCCAAGCACATTTTGGTATTTTGGTGAGCCGCGCAGCCCGGCGTAAGTATCCCCCCTCCCTAACTCAGCTCCTCCCAGCACCATAAGTCGTAGACGGGGAGGAGAAAGGGCGTGTAATGGGTTTAACACAGCCGAGACCTGTTTTCACTAATCACATAGGCTCCTCTCCTTGCCTTTAAATCCGCCACAGGCGAGGCGTATTACTATTTTCATGAAGTAGTCAAAGAGATCAAGAGATGTCTTAAGACAGTAATGCCACAAGATGGCGACAGAGGGCAGCTCCTCAACAAGTGTCCTCCACACTCTCTCATATGAGCACAGATGGATTTAGTGTGCGTAATGTTGGACCCACTGGTAAGACAAACACCCTTTTCCACAAATAAAGACACTCACATAAAGTTGCTCATATTCAAACCTCACGTGACAAAGGTGGGTTTAGCGCACAGATCACAACATAAACTCCAAAAATGGCATTAAAATCGGAACCATCTGTGCGTAAATGACGCATCGCGCTCCGTGGCCTGGCTCTGTCTTTCATAGATGTTGGCATATAAAATAAATTTGGCTCACAAAACTGAATATTATAATATCCGTATGTCGGCTTAAAGTAGATAACGCATCTGAGCACTGAAACAAATCATCTGTTCAGCTGCAGCAGCAGCAAGACGGACAGAGGACACGGAGACGTGTCCAGGTCGAGCTGTGCGAGAAATAAGAGGAAGAGGAAGAAAGAAAAGGAGGGAGAAGAATTACATATCTTGTTAACTTCATCATGTGTGTTTATTTACTAGATATTTAATTTAATTTGATGCAGTTTCAGCTGTGTTGATTCGGTCAGGTTGTGTGTCCAAACGCGTGCCAAACGCGCTCATCAGATCAGATATAGATCAGAATATATCGATATAGATCTAAATATATGTGCTGACTCAGATTAATAGTTGATGATGATTATTTATTGCACTGAAATCTGCCTGACACTGTGGAAACCTACCGGTGAGGCATCAGTGACGTATGTCGATACGCCGCCGGTCTACCAAAATACTACTAGACCAGCTGCGTTCCGCCTTGCGCTGAAAGCTGACTAGGTTTGAATCGGCGAGCTTTCAGCGCACTTTACACGCCGTTGGCGAGCACGAAAATGTCACTGCGCCTGCTGATTCTGTCGACACCTCCCCCTGCCACGCCACCACGCCCAGCTTGGCGGATCTCGGCTCGCCTCCGTGCGGCTCATGCCACGAAAATACCAAATTGGCCTTACGCTGGGCTCCGCCAGACGAAAATACAACTGCGCGGGGCTCGCCGCTAGGCCTGTCGCGATAATCAATAAATCGCCTTATCGCTCGATAAATAAAAACGAGGTCGATAACTTTGCCAGCCTCGATAATTGACGTGCGTTTGTTTTCCTCCTCTCTCGCTACCAAACACGCTGGATGAGAGAAGAGGTCTCACTCTGCGCATTGTTCTCGGCACCTGGGGGCGTTGGCTCTATAGCGGAATGAATGGAGTTAGTGAACCCTCCTGTCGGTCATTCAGTGTCTTTGTCACGAGGGGGCTGGCGCGCACAGGCACACAGACACAGACTTTTTGGATACAGTGCTGCAAGTGAGCGTCGTGAGTGAAAAGCAAGCTAACAGAATGAACACGACAGCTTTGGTGTCTAAACCGAACGCAACAGCCCAAGTGTGGGAATATTTCGGCTTTAAACCAGTTTTGTTTTCGTCAACCACAAAACTCCACGTGTGTGTGTGTGCGCGTGCGTGTGTGTCTGTGTGTTGGAGGAGCACAGCAGGCTGATGAGAGCTGTCAGAGCAGACTGAAGCTGCTCCTATATGTTTAGCATTTAACTGACTGAGTTTTGCAACTCTGTTCGTCATTTTCGTCTCGTCCCATCAACGTAAACGCACTTTCGTCTCGTCACATTTTAGTCATCTCCGACTTATGTTTAGCTCGTCAACGTTACGTCTTCGTCGTGGGAGAAAAGGGAAATATTTAAGTCAACGAAAACAACCAGTGTTGTTCTCGTGTGGAAATTAAAGTTTATCACTTTTGACATGGTGTACTCGCATTATTATGCCATATAATATCATTATCTATAATTTAAAAAATGGTGTCAATAATATCGTTTATCGGCGATAATTTGTAGCACAATTATCGTCCAGCAAAATTTGTTATCGTGACAGGCCTACTCGCCGCCCTCCGCCGCCTCACCGGCGCGCACGAAAATAGAGCCCTTGGTCTTAGTCTCATGGTCTTAGTTTCATTATTAGTCACACTTGAGTCATTTTTGCCCTTCATCCAGTTTGACTCTAGATTTAGTTCACAAAATTTCAGAACAATTTAGCTATTACTTTGAGTTGAAATTTTCCCCTTCTTTCAGTTTATTCAATTCATCAATCCTCTTACCTCTGTGCAGTTGTCATGATTGCATCCACCACCTCGATGATTCTGTGCAGAGCCGAGTCAGTGCCGATTGTCATGTCAGTTCCACAGAAGTCGTTATCAATGGAGCCGACCATTCCCACTATGTGGAGAGCTGAATACTTCTGAACAGCATCAGCTTCAATCAGACCTGAAAGGACCAGAAAGTTTAAATGGAGGCAAACCCTCCACTCTGGTTTTTTATCACATTTCAGATGCATTACTATCACTATTTTGACAACAGCGTCAACGGCTTTTCAGGATGACACAACAGAGCCTGTTGTCGGTTTGGAAATCTGTGAATACGCAAAGAGTTTCATTTAAAAACTCTGTGACTAACAGCCAAAATAATGTTGTGGAAAAAACAAAGTATGCTGGATGTGTGAATGTCTAACATTTGAACAGAAATATCAAACAATGCTGAAAGCAAATCAGTGTGGAAACAACTTTGGACTAACAGCATCACCAGCATCTTCTACCGGGCTTCTGCATCAGGAGGAACCATTAGGAAAAGTACCTTGATCCACCAGCTCCCCCAGCAGCCCGCTCCACTCCTCCCTGAACAGATTTGCTCCTGTCAGACTGCCGTCTCCACCGATCACACACAGGTTGGTGATACCACGCTGCACCAGGTTGTGAGCTGCCTTCAGGCGTCCCTCGTGGGTACGAAACTCTTTACAGCGAGCACTGCCGATAACAGTCCCACCCTGGAGGAGACAGGTGCCAGCATTTCCTTAGCCTAAGGGGGCTGCTCTTTAAAGGTTAACATGTCTCATTACTTTTGTCTTACTTCTGTGAAAGACAAAGGAGCTTAATCAGCCAAATGAGAGATCCTTTGTACTAAAGCATCAGTATGAAACACTGCAACTACTTCTGACTGACTGTGCATCTGTATGAGCTGTTAAACCAACTTTTAATCATAAATAATGATTTGTTTGAAGGTGCAGTGTTTATGGACCACATCAAGTCCCCAAAAGGTGAACTAGTCATCTGAATCGACTTTTTTCTCTCACAGAAGCCTCCAAAGATAAATTTAAGGGATGCAAGCTCCTCCATTATGGTGAAGAGTGCTTCAGCTAAATAAAAAGGAATCTTTTTTCTTTTCTTTTATGCTGTTCAATCTCTCACTTCAGGAAACTGAGTAAACACAGCCAATCAACACACGACCACAGGGTGTTAGGGCCTGACCTCTCAAACCACAGAAACGCCGTGTTTAGTGAGTGTTCCTCTTTGTAGCCATCTGCACTGCGCACTACCACTAGTTTTGTAATTTCCTGGGTTTTTTTTTTCTCATTTGAAGTACTACAACATGAAATGTTTAAGCGCTCTGAAAGGTTTTTGTTTTTTCTGTTTGCAAGAGCAATTTTTGATCCGTAAGTAATTGCATGAATGTGTAGAGTTCATCACAACTACTCACCACTTGTAGCATGCTGGAGACACTTTCCCATGTTGCGTCCCTTATGTTCTCCCCACCATCCACCATACCCTGATATCCCTGTTGGAAAAAAGGTGCATCTCTGTCAGCAAACACAAGAGAAAACCAAATACATATGCAAGCTTATAGCTAGAGTGATATGAATCGATATTTCAACCTAGTGCTTCTCCACAGGACAGCACAAATGTGAATTAGTCAAACTCTAGTGTTCAATATGTCTGCTTGGTGTGCCCATCCTGATCAGGTCATGCCAAAGTGTGCAGGAGAACACTCTCAGCACCTGAGTGGGAGGAGTGTTTCATACGAGACATCTGCTGAGGCCTTAAGTCAGTTATGTAACGTTTGCTGCATCAGGGGTCCATGACATGCAAACAGACGTGTACAGATCACAGAAAAAGCATGCAGATTACGGCTGCTACCTAACAACATCTGCTGTTTGAAATACATATCCCAGAATACAAAGGTTAAGATGTACTTTTTTTATTGGTGTGAAGATGAAGGAAAACTGCAGCTGTGCCTCTAACATCTGACTGCAAAAGAATCTCCCTGAAACCTTTGTTCTGTATTTCAGTTTATCTACTTAAAACACACTCTGGCTTCAAGGGCAAAGAATCCTTCTATTCCTTCTGCTATCTGTGTTACCATCTACAAAACTACTGTTGCTACTAAAGCAAAAATAACCATCACACTACATAGCTCAACACTTAATTTGGCACATTCTGGTGGAGTCGTTGATCATGCATCATGTCAAGATTTTTTGTGTGTAGATATTTGACTATTTTATTGAAAGTGTGACTGTTCCATCAGAATAAATCCGTTTCTAGGAGTTCTGTTACCGTAATTTGGGTTTAGCATCTGCTTTTCTTGTACTTGCCACTTACTGTGAACTAAAAGTAAAATTTCATTTGGAATATCTTAATTTTATCGTCAAAATGCTAAACAATGTCAGAACATAGGGTTGAGACAGGTCAGGCTTTAATTTCCACTTCAGAAACTTTGCACACAAATGAAGGCTGCAAAATATTGAGGGAAAACTGACAATGCAATGTGTTTTCTCTCTGCATGTTTTTGTGATATGAAAAAATACATAAATCAAACCATGTCAAGATCAAAAAGTGCATATTGACTAAAATAACTCAGATTATCATTATTATTAATTATCATTACTACATCGAGGTTAGCTGACAGCTGACTAAAGCTTCATCTGACCATATCAAATGAGTATAATCATAGCCATAACACCCAAACTCTTATGTAACAGGTACAATGTACCTTAAACAAAGCTGACCAAGGAAACAGTGATTGTTGATAATTGTCAATCTCCTAGTTTGCTGCAATAATTTGAGAACACTGAGTTGTGGTAATTGGAAATGCTAAATATGCATTTTCAATAAAGTTGTGATTTATCATGCGGACTTGATGTTTGTGTTTGGAAAGGTATGGTTTTGATTAAGTAGAACCTTGATGTGGTTGCAACAATCACATTAAATCAAGAAAAAGACGATGCTAAAGGGCCAAATCACTGAGCACTACGGAAAGGTGTGGTACATGCCTTTCAATGGTTTGTACGCTACTAATTGTAAAGTCACAAGGCTGCAGTACTATACATGCACATTGTACATTTAACCACTTGCTACTGAAATATGAAATACGACTCCACTTATTACTCATGTGCTGTGATTTTACAAGAGACTGGCAATGAAAAATCTCAAACTGTTGTAAATGATCCAGAAAGTGTGGGCTCACCTCATGAATGAAATAAACTTTTGCTCCCACATATAAACCCATTCGAACTACGGCACGTACAGCAGCATTCATTCCTGTAAAAAGAAAACAAAATAAAGTATTATAGAAAAAAACACTTTATGTAGCACTGCAACCCTGAGTTGTGTTTTAAAGAGGAAAAACACTGTAAAACTGGAGCAAATCATTGTCAAAGTCTCATTTGTTCCGAAATTCATTTAATCTCTACCCCTTGTAAAACTCTAATTCCCGCTCTCTCTCGGTATCTATGGGTCTTGATTGTGTGTGTCTGTGTGTAAGTGCAGCCTATCAGTGTTTATGTAGACTGTCTGGGGCTCAGCAGAGCTCAGGCCAGAACACTGCCTTTTTTAGTCAAAAGCTCTCCTAGCTTCCCCAGCTGCCTCCCAGTTACTTTGCGGTTAGTCCAAGTGAATTCACTAACCAATAATGCACTGCTCTGTGACTTGAATGCAAATGGCAGGTTAGTTTAAGCCCTGACAGTGGGGATAAAGGGAAATGCTTTACACAAAAAGGGCAGACAGAAACTTGGCTTTCTGGAGGAGATACAAACAAGAGAAAGCTGTGAGTTCCTGGTTTCTACACAAACTGCTGCAGTTCTAATGGCAGTCAAGCTGTGCTGTTAGCAAGAAAGACACATTCGAGGCTACTGGCACAGCTGAGAAGACAGCAGTGAAAGTGAAAAGACAGGCAGCAAAAAGTAAAAGAGGAACTTAAGCTCTGAAATCCAACCAATCATTCACCATACATAACAAATATTGTTACATAATACGTTCAAATAAACAGCCTGGTTTTTAATACCATCTAGGATGACAAAAGGGGTTTAGAGACAGAGAAAAGAGCCACAGTCTCAAAGAATTTGTTTACAGAATATCCAAGAAGCGTATCCTCTAGGTTTCTTCTCTACTTTTCTGCTGAAAGACAAAAAAATTGTCCCCTCTCTTCCTGCAGGACTAACACTCTGGTGCTAGTGTAGAAAAAAGACCGAGCCAAGTCTGCACAATGCCCTCTGACATAGACATTCAGCTCCCGTCATGCATGCAGCAGCCTCATTGGTTTGCTCTGGGGCCAACTTTACATGTCCTTTTTCCCTTGTACAAGTGTGGTCATGAGTGTGCCAACAATTCATATGTCAATGATTGATTAATTTCTCTTGTGTCATAGAGCCATAATGTACAGAACTGCACTCGCAGTAACATGACTATGCAGAGCACTGAATCTCTGCTGAATGTTGATGGAGCAGAAAGTAGAGAATGCATATTAACATTTCTCTGAGTTGACCTTCAGCAGATAACACTTCTTAGACCTTTCGACATGTCACATATGGGAAAGCTAAGATAATTGTAAACTTTAATGTTTTTAAGCTCTTCGCCTTGCACACGCTGAGCCACATACACTGTTTTTGAAAAGAACTGAACCTCTGTCCCTTTTATAAGTAATAAATGTGCCTTATTATATTCCACATTTAAGGTTGCAAACCTGTCTTTTTAACTTCAGCTAACATTTTAGCTAGCCTTGTTCAAGACAAACCTTTGCATGCAGGATGCATTTGAGATGTAGACTGCACCTTGTACTTTGAACCTCTTACTTATTAATAGTCTTAACTAGGGTTGGGTATTGTTTGATTTTGAACGATTCCGATTTCGATTCCTCATTTCGATTCTGATTCCTATCGATTCTTTTAAAAGGCAGGATATCAAAAAAAAAAAGCATGGTTTGAATGAGGGTGCTAACCGGAGCTCTTCTTTTTGGATGAAATTTCTGAACTTCTCCATGAATTTTTAAATCATATTAACTTATTCTCAACCATATAAATATCAATTTTTGTTGTCAGGTCGTTTGTCTATGAAAACGTACAAGGGCTAACGTTAGTTGGATATTTAAGTTGACCCACCGTACACAGTGCAATTTGTTTACCGCTTCAAAGTTAGCAGAGGAACGAAGTAATTTATTGTTTCACTTATCTGATCCTGACTGGTTAGCGGAAGACAGGTGTTGTGCTGTAGAATGCACCCCTGCTGTAGAATGCCTCCCCTCCACTCATTAGCTTCTTAAAGTGGAAGACAATGATCTCATATTTTAAAAAAACACGAGTATTAGACCATGACAACATGTCAAATGGAGCAGTAAACTTTCGTTTTGTTTTTATGTGTCTCAAAAATGCACACATAGAGGTGTATTTGGGTATATAAACTGTACAGTAAGCTGTTAAGGTAGAGAACATTATATTTTCGGGACTGTAAATATTCCGAATCAGAGGGCTGTTGTTTTCGGCATATCTGAATAGCCTGAATGAAGTCATTAAAGGCACACGCTTTAGATTCCGTTCAACGGTAAGAAAAACTTGGATTATTTCGCCTTGTTGTGTACTTCCAACCGCGCTCCCGTCAGGGGTGCATTCTACGGCAGGGGTGCATTCTATGGCACAACACCGGCGAAGCGCGTCAAAGACGAGCACTCCGATATTTCTCCTCCATGAATCCTGAGGTGTTAAATCATGTTGGTCATTTACCCTCCTTTGCATGATATAATTGTATTGCTAATGTTGCATTGAGATAAGAGTTCATTCTTCCTGCTAAAGATAGCCAAACTTTTGACCAACGAAGAAGAAGCTGCCGAGCACCAACGAGGACGGAGCGTATGAGACGAAGCCACACACAGAGAGAGGAGAGAGACAGAGAGAGAGAGAGAGCGCATTGTAACCCACAGCGGCTGCATTGCTGTGGGTTGCAATGTACTTTCTCTCTCTGTCTCTCTTCACTTTCTGTGTGGCTTTGTCTCATACGCTCCGTCCTCGTTGGTGTTAATCGGCTTCTTCGTTGTTGATTTTCGGCGGCTATTTCTTCCGGTCAGCAGACTCCGGCATCGAAACTTGGAATCGAAATTTTAATATTTGAACGATACCGGAAGAATCGAAATGTTAGTCCCGGTCCCCATCGATACTCGATTCTCGATACCCAACCCTAGTCTTAACAATAGAGCGATTGACATCAAGATATAAAACTGATGGTCAATTTTAAGTGACCACCTCCACCGGGTGCGCCCGGTGGAGGTGGGTTGTAGGGGTTTTGTGGCCAGCTCGACAGCGAAGCTCCTTAGGGAGGTCGGAATCAGGGGACAAGCTCACAGACAGGCCATGACTGGGGCTAAGTATGGCTGTAAAGCATCAACTCCTCTTCCACTCAGGTATGCGGTCAGGTGCAAGCCTGGCTCAGGGAGGAGGACGCCCCTGCCATGCATAGTCCCGGGGATTGTACCATCTATTCCTTTCATCGAATCATACTTATAGAAATATTTTGGCCATAGTGGCTACATCTGACTGGTGTATGAGGACATCCAGGTATTTTTTTTAATACTGTAGCTGACAAACAAATATATACTATATTAGCCTGTTTTGAAATGCTTCATCTTAAAGAGGTCACATGTATGCAGATTACCTGCTTTGATAATGTAATGTCGAGGGAAGGATTTCAAAATGTGGGTTTTGTCACTTGAGTGTCTCTTTACAGCATGCTACCGAATACTGATGAATAAAAATAATCAGACACCCAGAAAAAGAAAAAAAAACAATAAGAGGGCAAGCTGAATAAAGAGACAAAAATGGAATAACAGTATGATTATACAGTATGACATACAATGGAAAATGCATGATGTTATTTTTTCCATAACCCTATCTCCCCCATTCTACACCATGACTCATCACCCTCCAAAGGTGCTGTATCATTCTGTGCAAAATACTGCATATGCTTTACTACCGGATCATCTGCTTAATAATGCATGCAATTTATTATTGTAGACTGTATGTGGAACATCTTTATTGGGGTGGTTTTACAGATTTAAAAAAAAGTGCTGCAATGGATTTTATCATTATTTACGAAAATGACTATATTCTTTTTGTCTTCCAAGAATGAACTACTACAAAATAAGTCACTTTTATTTCATTTATTTTTTTTCTACTTTTTTTACTATTTCCATGACTATTTAATTCAGATTTCCTTGTTTTGTCACTCTTTCAGTTCTATCTTTGTAAATATTATTCTCGCAAATTGTGTTTCAGTAATGGCATTAGCACCATTACTGGCTGCCGCATTTGACATTTTTTTAGCTAAAATCTCGAAGTAAAGTACGTCTGTGCTTTCACTGGAAACCCAAGTTGCAGCAGTTCTTTTTAAAATCAAGGTATTTTAGCAGAATTTAATGCATTCGGTGATGATTTAAGGATGTATTTTACATGGTACTAGTGGGTGTGTATTGAACGTTGGCGAGTCAGTCAAATCGAGAGAGGAGCGACGATCACATGACCAGTTTCCTCTGTGACGCATGACCGCCGGGGAGAGACGGAGTGGGGATGTATGCAGTTCATCACGTACACAGGATACAGGCATCCAACCATCGGCTCCCGCTCACTGTGACTGCTAACCACAACCTAACCTCTTATATTACTGGACATGTAAAGATGCTGTGTCGCAGTTTCCCCCCCTGCTCGTCACTATCAGCAGCCTGCACGTCGACACCGCAATGCAGTTGCGCCACTCTTTACATCCAAGATACTGAAAGTGAGGTTTAGCTCCGCAATACGTCGTTAGTTGTTTCAAGTAGCAATGGTATTCAGGTACATAGACCGGCCTTAATATGCCTTCGAATAGCTGTGTAAATGCACATAAATGCCATCACATCGGTGACACTGACGCCGAGGACCCGCTCGCCAGTTCGATTCAACTCGTGTCCGCCCACTCTCACCGGTCACTCTGCATGAATCAACGAGTTTTTTATTTCAATGGGCTCAATACGAAGGTTTTTCCCTCAACAATCTACCGGCGTTTCTCAAAATGAATGAGCGTGACACGATAAAACAGGAAAGCGGTTAAGAACCGCCAGTGCCGCTTAGTTCGTGTGGCGTCCCCTTAGCAGCGAATCAACCGTAAGCGACACAGAATGAATGGAACGAATAATTTCGCACGTCAGTTCGCTTTGGGTCAATGCGGTAAAGGATGCTGCCGCTAGCTAGTTAGCATCAGGCTAGTATGCTAGCCGGCGGGCTTCCTGTACGTATTATGATTGCCTCGCTGTTCTGTAGATACAGAAAACAGTTACTGATAGTTTGTACTTAAAAAATCTGCCATTCCGTCAGTGACTGAGCACCATCCGGCAGCTGGAGGGGGTATTTTCGCCCTCTATGGGCCTCTCTCACACACTGATAACAAACTGTCACTGTTTACCTTGAGCATCTCCTCCGCTCGTCAGCACCGCGATAGCCTTTCCTGCTCCCGACAGGTTCTCAAAGAAGATCTTCTTGCTGTCAGGCTGCGCCATTGTTACAGCTGTTCAGAGTAACTCCCAGTCCAGTTGTTAAAATACCACACCACGGCCCTCAACAGTGTGAAAATGTGCTGAAGTGATGAAGGGCAACTCTCGTCCACCCCCTCTACCTATGAATGCCCGCTATGCTCTTCCTCTGCTCCCTGTTCCGCACCTATTCGCTGATCTGCATAGACAGACCGTGGGGAGAGTGATTGGCAGCAATGTAAGCCAATCAAATCTGGGCTCAAGGAGGTTTTCGTCTGAATTTAAACCAATAGGAGAACAGATAGATGATCCGGGGCAGGGCAAACAGGGGGAGGATGCCAGTGAAGATCGAACTAACAGGAAAGTCATTTTAAAACTTCTGTGTTGGCGTACATCATCTAGAATGAAAGCAGTCGAGTAATTTTATTATAACGGTCAAGACGGAGGATACACACACTATAAAGAAGAGAAGCACAGAGCAAAATAGTCCACACATCACTTTTTAGTCATTTGGAATTTCCCTTGACGGTGCAGTGAGGATTTTTAGGGGCCCTTAGTTTAAAAGAAACAGGATGTCATACTCGTGGGTGTCTTCAATCACGGTATATTCGTCTCAATACGGAAATCTTTTATTTTTGACATCTCAAAATTGATATGTCTAGAGACAGATCTCTCACAGAGGCCACCACCTTCTTACATGGCCATGTTTCTACACTAGCAGAAAACAGACAAATGAGTAACAGACACATGTTGATGTTTTTTTTAATGGCAAAAACTGTGCAAATGGAGGATCACACTCATGCATCACAGGAGCTTTTTGTCCTGAAAAGCTACCCTGGCTTCTGTGGCCAGAGGTGTGTGTTTCAGTGTCCGCGCCATACGGAGAAGCGACACTGAAAACTCGAGTCTTTCTAATAAAGTTTTTGTTGTTGCTGTCGCTATTGTAGGTAGTTATTAACACGAAACGTCACCCCAAGTATTTGTCCCCCCCTTAAATTGGTTTTAATTCGTTTTCTTCGACACAAGAATCATCAATATGCCCTTCTGGAGCTTTTATTTTGGCACTTCCGGTTTCCGACCGTGAATTTGCATATTAGCTAAATATTTGAGAGGTGACCAGATGCAGCGCAAGATGGCGGACCCAAAGATAGAAAACCACATTTACAAAACGCAATAAGTTTCCGCATTACCTCCGATTGGCGGACCCAAAACAATTACTTCCGGTGGAAAGGCTTTCTCGTTGGCGGACCTCCGGCGCCGAAATACTTCAGATAGTCGGATTTAGTCGCCGGATCCTTTTTTTTTTTGCTCCGTTCATTCCATAAGAATCGAATTAAATTTATTATTGAGCTAAAAATCAAAATAAAACGTTTATGTATTAACTATGACTACTGTTTTGTTCTGATTTAATTCTGAAGTTTACAGTAATATGTATATATAGCCTGATGTCCTCATATTCTGATAATTTGTCAGAATAGGTAAATGTAGAAGTTCTTTTGTAAGAGTTTGCTACAAGTATGGACTGTTTTAACCTCTCGTTACACATAATATAACAGTGTTTTCTAACTTTTCTCTCCAATAGCTTTATTACACAGCACATCAATGTTTCTTAACTTCTCTGTGACCTTGTTTCTCCATTCCTATTAGGACCTCGTTTAATGTCAACAATGTTGCCCTGACCCTCACATATTTTCTGTTGTTCATAATTATGTTTTATGAGAGTGCTTATGTTGCTGCACAAATTTACTCCCCCCATCCTTTAGTAACATTGTGTAACCAGGGACATCATTTATGAAATGGTGTGCTTCCTGGTGAACCTCTTCAGGATTGCTTGACTGTGCAAAATCCAAGTATACAATAGTTGTAGAGACAAGTCACATGATCTCTTTAAGGTTCAGAAGAGCCATATAGCAAAAACAATTGAATAGCGATATCATTACAGACTGTGTAAAGAAATGAGAAATTGTCATACAACTGCTTTGAAGATTTCTTTAATTTTTTCCAAACAAAATTGTGAACAGTAAAAAAATATATATATATATACAAAATTCAGCACTGCCGTCGGTGTGGTGGGGGGCTTAAAACACGTTGCCACAGGCCATCATCAGCTCTGCTCTGAACCGGTTGATGCCATGCTCCTTCAGTGCTTTGATCAAAAGCTGAAAAACAGTCAAATAATGTGAACAATTGAAGTTATGCAGTATGGGTTAATTGTTGTTCTTGAGCTTTCCAAATGAATAAGAACAACCTCTTAACAATATCATCAATTTTCAAAGCAAGCTATATAGTTTGATCTACTCACCTCTGGGAGCATGACGTCAAAAACGAAATCAAGCAGATAAATCTCGCCTCTCTTTATTTTTTTAGAAATGTTTGTTGCCACCTCAATGAACCGCAGGAGCTCGAACATCTATTGAAGAAAAACACAGAAAGTAAACACCTTTCAAATGTAACACCCCTGAGAGTAAAAATACTCATGATGGATGGCATTTTTACTTACGCGCTGCTCACTCCAACTTAGTGTCCTTATCTTAAGATGCTGCTTTAGTCGGAGTGAGGTGGCGGGATTCCTCCAAAGGAACATTCTGTTGGAGCGGATCTTTCCAGACAGTAGATCATCGTGTAATGTCTGAAACCAAAGAGCAAGAGACAAAAATGTAATCATCTGAAAAAGAAACGGTGGCTTTAACAACTGATAGTGCATTCAAAAGCAACCTTGATCTGTGTCTTAGAAAAGACAGCAAGAATTCCTCAACTGTCAACAGCATCCTTGATCCTGCAGAGAAATAAGAAAAGAGCAAGCCCTCATTTTTTCATCCTTTGAGCATCGTATTTTTGACTGATACTATGTTTCCTTGATAAATTATGTTATACCGAGGATGCTCAATGGAGTCCTCGCACCCGCAGTCAAACGGCTCCATTTCAATCCCAGCACAATCCTGATGCAGCCAGCCCCTGTACGTCTTGCACTGGACCCATTTTATGATGTTTACCTCAGGGTAAAGCAATCTGATCAAATGAGAGACAAACATAATATTAAACAAACACGCTGTCCAATTGATTATACCTCTGCAGCACATTTGAATGTATAAATAATTTTCCTGCATGATTCGTGCATTTAAACTATATGTAAAAGTGGTCACTTCATGGAAAATCACTGAATAGGCCCCGATAATTGCATTTATTAAATTGAGTCTGCAACACACCTCTCTCCTGTGTTGTTCGATGTCTGGTAGACACAGAATTGCATTGAATCTGCCATGCACATTCTTTGGACATCCTATGCCCTCTACGTCATGGTTTCCTTGACAAGGCAATTTGAAAAGTAACATCAATTACCAAATACATCGAGACAATGTTGATCCATACAACTGTGTGCATTTTGAAGGACTCCCACTGAGATAATACTGTTTTTACAAGGCAATTTTCTAACCTCTATGTCCTGCTGCTCTGCCTTCCTCTTTAGACTGAAGACCGGAGTATGCTTTCCAGCAATGAGCTCTTGACATTCTTTGGTCCAGTGGGCAAAGATTTTCCCACAACTGTAATGACAATATGTCTGTAAGTACAATATATTGATTGTCTTCCAGTTAATTAGGACATCTAGTTTACTTAAACTGTCTACCTGTTCAAAGAATTGTTCTCCAGGAGCAACAGGCACCACCATCGCCGCCAAACAGGCATGTCATGCTGAAATTGTTGTTTGTATTTCATTTTAGTGGACAATACAAAATACAATCTTGAGGATGACACTGCGTGTTGAAAAGTACTTACAACTGAGTAGTCAAACTGTGACTCCATAACGATGTACATGGCAGACTTTAAAAAAAAAATTATGAGACAACATGTGAGATAACTTTAAAAAAGTCCATGTTGGAAAGTTATTCTAGATACAATATTTGTGCATTACAGCTCGTTATGACCTACCATCAACATGAATATGCCACAGTCTGAGCCGAAGTCCTGGCTGGGGAAGCCCTGATTTAACAAAAGCAAACGTTAATCATCTTGTCACATACACTTTGTAGGAGCCAGATTGGGGTTTTGCAGTTTATTGTTATGTATTTTTTGTGCCAGCAGATGGTGCTATTGTGCCTGTCTATTTAATGGGTGGGTTGATTAGGAGAGGTGCGCACATAAAATGATGAATGAGTAAATAAATCAAAACAACAGAAAATGTGTGTGACATGTGACATTATTCCACCTGCGGGCACGCATCAAATCAAGCAAAAAGGTGTTCGCCACAAGTAACAGCATTGGAAAGCTGTTATACACTTTTCAACTGTAATATAGAGCATGCACAAATACCTCCAAATCTCTGCCCGTTTTCTCAGTCCATTGCCCAGGACATATCTTCTGCGCAATGTTCCTGTTAATTTGAGAGCGCCACTTAGATTTCCCATGATGGAAACAATGGAATGCAGGGTTAGGGTTAGTTTGAGTGGTCGGAGGTGAGATTGAATGAATGCGGACGGCTTGCTTCTTTTCAAACTTCCTGAGAGTTCTTCTTCTTCTGTAAATTTTGCCGTCAGAAAGTGTAGGTACATACCGCCACCTACTGTTCTGGCATCGCAAAGCAGAAGTTCAAAGTTCATGTTTTGGGTCCGCCAATCGGAGGTAATGCGGAAACTTATTGCGTTTTGTAAATGTGGTTTTCTATCTTTGGGTCCGCCATCTTGGCGCTGCATCTGGGTACTCTTGAAATATTTAGTTTCGCCCAACACATTTAGATTTAACATTTAGATTTAACATTTAGATTTAGATTTAACATTTAGATTTAGATTTAACATTTAGATTTAACATTTAACATTTAGTTTTAGTATTTAAATGTTGTTGTAAATGCGCAAAAAAATGACTGCCGAAAATTCACATCACTTTTTTAAATGCTGTTTGGAGCTAAATGTGACTAAATCTTGCTGTTGTTTTGCTAAATGTGACCAAATCTTGCTGTTGTTTTTATAATGGGCTGCTTTACAAACGGCACCCCATAACGTAGCGGGTCAAGTGACCAGTTCATTTCAAGCGTAGATGGCACGGTATATGTGGACGGGGGAGGAGACGGACTTATTTCTGAAGTTTTGAATTGTATTTGTATTTTTCTGAAGTTTTGAATCCACAATTCGTCTGTGAATTCCTCATTAACGATCCTCTCCCAGAAATCCCTCATCCATGTCCGCTCCCATACATACGAGCTTTGCCTTTGAATTATCACCCGCTGCCTTCGTCTTCTGATGACAGCAGCGGC